TGGCCCCCTCCTAGCCCCCACCACACACCCTCCCACCCCGCCTCCGCACTAGCCCCTCGACCCTACTGGGACTACGTGCCCCGCGACGAACGGGCGCCCGCATACCCGCACCCGTGCCCCCCACCGAGCGCTCCTTTCCCACCGCCCCCGCCGGCGCTCTCGGACCTCGCCGCGCTACCATCGGTCACGGCAAACCCCCCGCTTGCGGCGCGCGGGGTTGTCTATGTCCTCTTGTGCCGGAAATACCCCTTCTTTTACTATGTCGGGGAGACATACCGCACAGCGATCGAACGACTGCAGGAGCACTTTGATGCAGCATTCACGCACCATCCGAACGCCGTGCACACCCCGCTTTACGAGTTTATGCGACGAGTGTGGGCGCAGTCGCCGAACGGCCATGTCCCGTGGCGCGACTTCACCATCGTGCCCCTCTTTCGCATCAATTTCGCACGCCAGGTGCCCATCCCGCCGGCGACTAGCCCGGACGCTTTGAAGGCCTGGTTCCACAAGTTCCGCACCTACTCCCTGGCCTGGGAGCAGACCATGATACGCTGTCTGGGCTCCACATACCCCGGCGGCCTCAATTACTGCAAGGGCATGTGGAATTTCGGCTACGGAGCTGGCCACTCTGATGCTGCCCCATGGCCTCTATCCCCCCTGGCGTTCCAAATCGCCGCTGACCCCCACCCCGTAGCGATCCCCCACAACGACTTCCCCGTCCCGCCCGGCCCGAGTGGGCTCCCAGCGCTGGCGACCCTCTTCCAGCCAACGTTTGCCATCTCCTCCACGCATCAACGTACCATCCACCTCGACGCTGACAACTGCCTCACAACTACGGCACCAGCGTTGTCCCTGCCCCCCGCTATCGCAGGCATGTCTCCGCGCCTCGGTACACGCGAGTATATCTACCAGACTCGCCTCCTTCTTGACGTTGTTTTGTTCCGCCGCGCCGGCGACACAGAGCACGATCATTGGAGACGCGCGGTGAACCATTGCACGGCAGCGAACATCGGAAAATACCTCTTCTCCCTCCATCACTGCGTGTCGCACATGCATCCCGATGCGCTTAACCTGGGTCTCGACGAGCCCTTTTACACACAGCAGATGTTGGACAGTGCCCGCACCGTTTTGCAGGCCGCCATCAACCACCACTACCCTCCCGTCGCAGACATCGACCTCGGGAGCCGTACCCTCATGATCCACGACTTCCCTACCCCCCTGGCTAGCCTCGCCCCCCTCGAAACCCTCGTCAATAATGATGACTTTCTCAACCTCTTACCTGAGCGTATCCGCGAAGGTATGGATGGCTTGTTTCTGGTGGCCCCGCGCTATTCGGTCAGGTTTCCACCGCTGTCGCGCTCGGTGTGCACGCACAGCGGAGTTGCCAAGTTTGCACGCAGTCGCCTGTACGACATCATGGCGACGCAGTGCGACTGTGCGCAACACCAAGGACCGGACCTACGACGCCACTTCACGCTCGAGGACCCCTACTGGCAGATCGACGGCGAGCCTGTGCGGCACCTCTGCACGCTGGACCCTGCTGCGGCGGGCATCCAGAGCACCGCGTACCGCCGTTTGTTCGCCGTCGGCGGTGCCAAGCACCGACACGTCCCGGAGCTGCACCAAGCCACGAGCGCGACCGTAGCTAGCATCGTTGAAGCCTACCAGAAGCCGCTGCTCGGGTGGACGAAACGCGTCAGCAAGGCCGCCGACATGGACGCGGCAGCGTGCATGCCGTACATTGATGCTATACTTGCTGCTACGCAAACGGCACTCCAACCCGCTCTTCAACCCGGGTTCCGCCTTCCATGGCCCCCGCCGCTGGCGGACATTCAGCCCGACGATCGCGTGGCTCTGCGGCGAGACGCGACACGCCTCACCATCACGACCATGGACAAGAACGCCGGGAATTTGGTTTTCGTGTGTCGGCGCGCCTACATCGAGGTCCTCCTGCACGACCTGCACAGCAACGACGCTTTCGCTGTCAACGAGCCGGCAAATGCCAACATCACGCATGCCAGGCACGTGGTGAACGTCGCTAACACGACGGAGGCTATGTTGGACAACCTGCAGCTACCAGGAATACGCACCGAACGCGAGTGCGGTGGTCTACCGCACTACTACGGGACGATGAAGCTTCACAAGGCCAAGGTGGACGTGCGGTACATCTCGGACTGCTCGAGCGACATCACGCGCCCCGCAGCGCAGCTGCTGACGAAGGCCCTCGGCGCGCTCATGTGCCACGCCACCCTCGTGGAGGTCTGGAGCTCCATCTTCGACGGCGTCCCGGAGGACCTCTGCAGCAGCTTCGCGCCCTTCTTGGTGGACTCCAGCCGCGGCATGCGTGACATGGTGACCGCGTATCTACATGACAACCCACCACGCTCAGCGATACATGCTCAACAACCACCTCTGCTGCTGGGCGCCGACATCAAGCGGCTCTACACGCACATCCGGCACGAGACGAGCGCGGACCACGGGACCGGCCTCATCGACTGCGTCATCGAACACATCGACGCTGTTTTTGCACTGCATCCAGGGCAACACCTCCTGATCGACTTGCAACCCGCGTTTGACGCGAGGGAGACGTGGTGGTGGGTGGCGCAGCTGCCGGACGCGGACGGCATGGTTGGGAAATGGGCACCGAGCATCGAGCAACTTCATGGTCTCGTGCACATCCTCGTCAAACGCGCCTACGTGGTGTTCGGGGGCGTCGTATATCACCAGACCTGCGGTGTGCCCATGGGGCTCTCGGCCTCCCCCCACCTCGCGAACTGCTACATGTTCCGGCATGAGCTCGCGTTCCTCTGCCAGTTTCGCGACCGCTGGTTGAGCACTGGCGACGTCGCTTGGCTGAAGGTCTTGGGGTCTTTCCGTTATTCCAGGCGCTACATCGACGACAATTTCTCTCTCGCGAACGCACTGTACCGCTACTTCAACACCCACCCCCGCCCCCCCACCCCGCCCCCCGAAACCCCGTCGTCGATCGTAGATCTCATCTCTGGTATACATAACATGTACCCCCCCTGTCTTGAGGTCGAATTTGACGCCCCAGCGAACCCGCTCGACGGTGTCTCCTTCCTAGACCTCCGCGTGCGTCCGCATCCCGAATATCAGGGCTTCCTCCTGATCTCGCACTATGACAAACGCGGTCTGTTTCCTGAGAACATTCACCTCATACAGTACCCCCACGCTTCGTGTGCGCTGCTGCGACGACACCTTTACAACATCGTCCGCACCGAACACATCCGCGTGTCCAGCGAGGTGACTGACCGCGACAGCTACGTAGCCAAGATGTCGGCCATGATGCGCTACATGCGTACGCATCGAGGTTACTGCATGCGACAGGTCCTGGCGATCCACCGCGCCGCCTGCCGGACGCACCCGAGCCCGCATTTTGGCCCTGCCACGCCGGCGGGCCTGGCTGACCTCGTGCGTCGCCACGTGCAGTTTGCAGACCATACTGGCCAACCTGCTGACAGGGCGTGCCCGGCGCCCTGCAACTCGTCACCCTCATACATGATCCCGGCGCTGCGAAGCTGGCTCGGAACTATCCAGCCATGCCCGCACACATGACGCACTCTGTTACCCCCCCGATGTTGACATGTTGGCCATGCGCGTATTCCGTGGCCGCTAGACCGAGGTATGATCCCTTTTCGCATGACAGGCCACGCGCGGGGGACGGCGATGACGAGGAGAGCTGAGTAGCCGTCGGCGCGTCGCCACACAACGCGGACAATGCCGCAGACTCAGTCACCGCTGTCACCCAGCCGGCTGCCGACACCCCCTGGTACAAGCAGCCTAGGACGTGGACCAGCACTTCGGCGCGTCGGCTGGCGGGCGTCGTCCAGTACTCGCGCGGCTCGCCGCGTTGTTGCTGACGACGCCCGCCACTCACTCTAACTGATTGCAGGTCAGAGCCTTCCCTTGGCACATGATGGCACGCTCACATGGCATTTCGCGCGAGTACTCCTAGCACGCTGCCGCCTTGATCAGGACGATAGCACACCCGCATTTCGTTTCGTGCGCGGGTGGTCAATTACTACTCTCTGTATAACAGCACTGCAGTGTCAATTCCAGTAATCGCCCGCGCCTTCTGCCGCTCAGGGGCGTGGCCCAATGCGTGCGACGCGGCACATATGACGTACGCATAGCGGCGGGCACAGGCAACGTATTCGCAGCGCTGGAGAGCTGCTGGGATGCTCGGGCATCGTGCTGTGCCCGAGATGAAGCCGCAGTGATATCGTTGTGCCCGACCGCGACGGCGCAGCCCCCCTTATCGCGCGCCAGTTCACCCCACGAGCTTCGGACGGCCGCACATCCCGGACCGGACCCGCTCCAAGTGGCGCACCAAGCTTCAGGTGACCTTCGCTGCCCTCTGCCCCTGCGCTTCGCCCCCCTGCGCCATCTGCGATCCGCCTACCACCGGTCTGGACCGGCGATGCACCTTCGCACGTCGGCCTGCACTGCACAGCTGCGGGAGATTCCGTGCTAGAGAAGTACGGTCACCCACCTTCGTTCGCCGCCCCATGACTCGGCGAAGCCCGACGAATAAGTCGAGTTGGCGTCGCATATTGACGATATCCTGGTCGACGACGCCGAGCGGTGGCTCGCGCTGAGACTCGCCCGCACGCGTGGGGCCCGAGCCGGGTGCGCGGGTGCGCAGCTTGTGGTCACCGCGTCTGCCATTGCGAATGCGACGTCCTGACGTTTCAGAATCTGAGCTGACCGGGAGCGCGATGCGCTCTTCATCCGGCTGATGTCGTCAGGACACCTGAACGCCTAGGTGCACGCTTCATTCGTGCTTTCTGGCGCCCGCCACCCGTCCCGTGCGTCCCACACGAACCCTTACGCTCGCAACGCCTTGACTGAACGCCGGGGGGATCTTCATAGTTTGCAGGGTATCGACGTACCGGCGGGCTGTACCTAGCTCACTGGGCATCACGGGCATCGACTGCCCAGCGAACTGCTACAGCTAGAGCGAGACAGCCCTGGCCAACATGGGCAATCTTCTGTGCAAGGAGAACGAGCTGGATGAATCAGTGTTGAAGCCACAAGGTTCGTTCCCGCAGAACAACGCCTCATCTTGTCATGCTCCTGTCGCCGTGTGGCAGCGTGCATGTTCACTTGCGCGATCGAAAATCCACCGCGACCAGACGCACGCAGCTGGGTGACGCGGAAACGCCGGAGAGAGGTCACGTGCCTGCCTTTGGTGTCTTCATTCTGCCCTAACCCTCTTTGCAAACGCGCAAAGCTCTGGTTCCCTGCTGGCCGCAGGGCTGTACAACAATCCCTACATCGACCATCGCAGGCTGAGGAAGCTTATCTTGCGACGCAGACTGGCGCCATGCTTTTCCGGCCGCGACGAGGACGCTGCGGCTGGTGCAGCCTCTGGGGACGACGGCAAGCGGGCGACTCTTGACGAGTGCCCCATCTGCATGCTGTACTACCCCTCGCTCAACCGTACTCGGTGCTGCCAGAAAGAGATGTGCACCGAATGCTTCCTTCAGCTCAAGATTCCAGCCCCCGATTCTACATATGCCTGCCCTTTCTGCAAGAAGGAATGCTTTTACGTCACTTATCGGCCCAAGACTACGGAAGAACGCGAGGCGGAACTGCGCACAGAGCGGGCGGTCGAGGAGGCAAAGGTCAAGGCGCAGGCTGCAGAGGCCGCGCGCAACGAAGCACGCTATCGGCGACGACGCGAGCGCGAGCAGCATCGCCGCGCCGAGCAACAGCAGCAGGCTGCCATAGCCTCGCCCCCCGTTGGCGCAGCCCAGGACGGCCAGGAGGCTCCCGATCTCAACACGACATCCTTCCCCGGAGCACCTGCCGAATCAGCGCCGCCCTCGGGACAGTCCAGGCCATCGCCGGAAGCCGGGCCGCGCAACTTTGCGCGCGAGTTCGCCGAGGCGCACGGGATCCACCTCCCGCCCCCTCAGCGGCCCTCGGCGGACGACGATGACTCAGTGGACAGCGACCCGTTCCAGGGCTACCGGCACGAGGCCGACGAGCGCATCGCGACCCGCATGCGCGAGCGCGAGAGCCAGCGCCGCCGGGCGCATGAGATGCGCTACCTGACGTGGTTCGACCAGGTCGCTTCCCAGCTGCGCGACTTCGTGCCACCGGAGTTGCTGCAGAGCCTGCGCTCATCGCGTCACATGTCCGCCGACCTGGAGGAGCTCATGATGACACAGGCCATACTCATGTCCCTACACGACACGGGGGACCTCCCGGCCGCGTCCGGATCTTCTGGGGCTGCTGGGTCGGAGCTAGGTGAAAATGAGCACCCTGCAGCGCGCGATGACGAGACTCGGACACCACCCGCGGTCAGCGACGAGCGTGCCGTTCGTGCAGCCTCGCAGCCTGCCGGCGAGGGGGCGCATGCCGGGCTGGAGGTGGCCAGATTGGACGGCGGACGAGGCACACGCAGCCCCCAACAGGAGCAGTACGCTTCCGCGGCGTACGCTGCGGACTTGGACGCAGTTGCGCGCATTCGCGACGCGGACAGCATTATGCAGGACGTTTTTGCGCGGATGACTGTCAGCATGGCGCAGCATGCGGGGCCAGACGGCCGCGAGGACGACCTTCCCGTGCAGGACCGCAGTGAGGTGGCCGCAAGTGAGGGCTCCCACGATCCGGGGGAGTCGCCAGCTGCGCCGTTGACCGCCTGGGGCGCGGCTGGGGCAGAGCCGCTCTCCGCCACCGACGACGTTGCGTCTGGTGTGCACGCAGTCGCGCAGACCGACACGGGCCTGTTGCGTGAAAACGGTGCAACAGACTCTGAGAGCACCAGCGCATCCTCGCACGTCGAACGAGAACGTGGTGCAGCGGTGCCTGATGGAGCCACAGAGGCAGGAGCTTCACAGGAGTGTTCGCCAGGAGATTGCCGAGGACCGCGCGCGTTGGAGGAGCCGCTCGAAGCGTTACGGGCTGAGCAGCAGACGGGGCTCGCTCAAGCTGCAAGTGTTTCGAATCCTGACCCGTGTTCGGCAGACACTCTTCTTGATGGACAGGGTGGTGAAGAGGCCGCTCCTGCGGATGTCAGCCGTGGCTCAAGGAACTCCGGCGCTGGTGTTTCCTCATCTACGGGGTCTCTGCGTCCCGGGGACGAGAACGTGCAGGACGAGAACGACGTATCGAACTGCAACTTGAGTGACATCATCACAACGATGGCAGCTGACGAGAGTCGTGAGGATCCGACTCCGGTCGGCGAGAATGAAGGAGGGAGGACCCATGATCCAGTACACCATGCCGACGACGATGCCGCAAACGCCGCGGACGCCGAGGGACGAGAAACTGTCCCGGATGGCAGTCAGCAGGCGGTGCTTCATGTAGCTTGACCGAGGCAGAATATGCTGCACAGCACCGCACTCAGCTAGTGCGGCGGTATCAGCTGCTTCGTGTGTGTCCGGCCCCATCCGGCACGTCCGCTGCCAGCAGTGTTGTGAACCCGAAGTAAGAAAGAAACGTGTCGAACTTGAGATCGCGCGCGTCGTTGCTCTCGGCCACTCCTTGCCTTGGTGAATCTGACCTCCAGTTATGACACGTTTCGTCACGTTGACCAAGGGAGGGGCGGCCGAGAGCAACGATGCGGTGGAGTACCCGCACGCAGGATGAGCAAGCTGCAGCGGCACATGTCAGATCCCAGAAACGCATTGAATGGAGCCTTCGATGAGTGACACGCCCGCAGAACGTTTTCCGTCGGCGCAGTCCGCGGTCACAGCGATGATGACCTTTCAAAGGAAGTTCCCTTTTGGAGGGGGGTGGCCACCCGGTGACCGGGTGGGGCTCTCTGAAGAACCATTTGGTTGGGTTCGCGCCGGACGAGCAAGTCGCAGATTTGTCTTTTGCCGGTGCTGGCGATCTCACAAGCAACTGCGCCGCAAGCGTGCGGAGGCGGAGCGCACGGGCTGTGGCGCGGCTCTCAACCAGGGAGGCAGCGTACGACTCGGCAGCGCGGCTCCGGGCCGCGGCCACCAACACCGGATTCACAATGTCCGACCACTGGACGACCATTGAAAGCGACCCCGGCGTCTTCACGGAGCTGATTTCATCTTTTGGGGTCCAAGGAGTGCAGGCAAGCAGCGCAGACACACACACCCAGGAGTCGACCTGTCGGTGACTTGCTTGGTGTGACTTCATCTCTTGCGCCAGCCTTGGGGCTGCATTCCTGGCGCAGCTAGCACAATGGCAGCCGGTTGCAGCCCCAGCAGTGCAATGTTCATCCACGGCTCCGGTTCATCCGAGACAACTGAGCCCGGCGTCTTCGCACCCGGCGTGCTCCTGGATGTTTTCAGATGCCGCAGGACTGCACGCGGCTGGCAATGTATGTTCATCGAGTGCCGGTGACCACGAGGCACTAGCGAGGCATGGAGCGCATAAGGCAGGCGCGCCACCCGGGTGTCCCCCTGCAGGTCGAAGAGGTAACGTCGTTAGAGCAAGAATCATTGGCAGCCCTAGAGCCGATCTACGGGCTGATTTTCCTGTTCAAATACCAGGGCAAGGATAGCACAGGCGCCGAGCACTTGCAAGACCCCGATCCCGCACTGTTTTTTGCCAAGCAAGTTGTCGACAATGCGTGTGCCACGCAAGCACTTCTTTCCGTGCTGCTGAATCGGCCGGAGTTGGAAAAAATGAAGCAGTTGGGAGCTCTGCTAACGAACTTCAAGTCTTTCGTGTCCGATTTGCCCGCGGACATGAAGGGGCTGGCGATTGGAAATTCGGAGGAGATACGCCGGGCGCACAACTCATTTGCGCGCCCCGATCCTCTCGTGCCGGATGAGAACCTTGCTGGACAGGACCAAGGCAAGTTGCGAGAATGACCAACCAACGAGACCAGGAGCTACCAGCTGATTCTCAACTCAGCGCACCCCTGACTGGCCGCAGACGCCTTTCACTTCGTGACGTACGTTCCTCTGCACGGCCAGCTCTACGAGCTCGATGGACTGCAACCAGGTCCAATCTCACATGGTGCCGTCGGCACTGGCAGTGCCTGGCTCGCACAGGCCACGGAGGCGATCAAACGGCGTGTTTCGAAATACGAGGCAGGGGAGGTGCACTTTAACCTCATGGCCGTTGTGCAGGACCGGCGCGTGGCCTTGCAGAAGCAGATAGAGGCCTTGGGAGCGGATGCCGCGTCGGTGGTCCTTGCGGACTTGCGAATCAAGCTTGCCAAGGTGGCCGCAAGCATCAGCTTATGTGTGCTGCTTGTCGACCTCACGGCCGCATCGTGCGGCCTGGGACGCGTTCGACGTTCTGCGAGCCGTGTGTTGCGCGTGTCGCCTGCCCGAACTCCTCACATTCAGTTGCAAGAAGGACCATGTTGATTCCAACGTGCGGCTGTGTCTGCGCGCAGGAGGAGGAGAAGCGCCGCATGTGGCGCGATGAGAACACGAGGCGAAGGCACAACTACGTACCACTCATTTTCAATTTCCTCAAGGCCCTCGCTGAGAAGCGTCAGCTCAAATCTCTCATCGAGAAAGCGCGCGAATCTTGACCGAGTGTGCATCGCGGCGATCCGATCATCGCGATCGACGCTGTGACGCTCTCAGCTCGAAATGCCGCCCCGACAAGTATCGATCGGCTCTGTATCATCGCGCGTGCCCTGGCACGACGAAAACGCTCTCGAGCAAGGCTCTGCACGCGTTTGCCACGTGACCCCCGTAGGCGGTGATGACATGCACTGCGCGTGCAGCAGACGGCTTGTAAACCGGCGGGCGCGGGTGCTTGACTGCCGGCATTTGCACGTCGCACTTCTACCTCGCGCGCAGGAACGCCATTGCTGTCTGCCGCCGAACAGCCATCCCGCTTTCTAGTCATTATGACGTAGAACAACATGACAAATGAGTCAACTGGAGGTCATGTTCCACGGCGAACCTGATGGCGGGCCGCCTCTCTGTCGAGTTGTTCCTGCTGCTTCAGCCACCGATATGGACGCGGATGATTCCATGTCACATTGACTACTCCACCGCGTCGTTGCTCTCGGCCACCCCTTTCCTGGTTAACGTGACCCCCGGTGAGGTGAGGTAAGGTGTCACATTCTTCGCGTCGTCAGCCATAAGGCTTTGGGACCTGAAAAGATCATTCGACTAGGTTGCGAGTCATGCTTACCCCCCACCGTTATGGCAGCAACAGGTTCGGCAGCTGTGACGGAGTCAGCCTGGAGCAGATCCTCGATGCCACGAGCGAAGATCACCATGCCTCGCTGATTCGGCGGGTTCAGAAGATAACGCACTGCAGCGTTGGCAGCGGCTTCAAGTCGAGTGTTGCAGCACCGTGCAGGTCTTCGAGGTGCTGACGTAGCCGGCGGTTGAGAGCGAAGCGGCGGCGCTGTCCAACAGTTGCCGTGGACGACAGGGGTGTGACGCGTGCGTCACACTGCATGTTCAATACATTGACCACGAAAGGGGATGGCGAAGAGCAACGACGTGGACGGCGCAGGCGAAGAAGATACGGTCAGTGGCCTCGACGGAACTGGAGCAGCACGCTGTGCATCGGACAACACGTGCAGCGACACACCCTACACAGCTTTCGGTGCGCGCTTGGTCAGGAAGGCAAGCCGGCGCTCTTGATATCCTGAATTTCGTTTATTCTCATGATCGCTGAGATGCCAAAAGGGTCGGTTCGAAGGTTTCGAAATGCCCCCGTGCGTGGCACGCACCCAGAGCTGCTGGGACTCCGGAGACGGAGACGGCTCTGAGCCCTCGGTGGCTTTGACAAGAGGAGCGACCCCCCTTGCGCAACTCGACGAGTTGTGAACTCGTGACGAGCCCTGCCAGTGTCAATGTCCCAGGCACCTTTTGACTGACAGCGTCCGCTCAGCTGCCTGGGATCAAACGCAATGTGTCACCATGTCGGTGACCACGACACAGCATGCTGCGAGACGACACTGGGGATATGCGAGAGAGCAGGACGATGTGAAATGCCGTTCGCGTGTTAGAAGCAGTCGCGAAGTGCTGGCGCAGGCTCACTGAACCCGTTTGAGCGCCGCTCAGCGTCTGGCCTTTTCGTGACAAGCGCTCAGTACCCAATAGCAGGCATTGAAGTCCTGACGAGCGGCCAGGCCTGGGCCCCACTCAGTGGCACTGGGGGGCTGCCGGCCCGGCTGTCAGCCTCGGCCGCCGAGTGCGGCACTGTGTCAGGGAAGAGGGGCCTCTCGCGGGCAGCAGGCCCGAGCGCTGCCGGGCGATTCCGCGCACAGATCCCCGCTCCACCGCGTAAGATCGCCCTTTTCTTCTGCTTGCAGCGGTAATTTGGTCGGCTATCCGCAAGTAAGCGTCGCACCGGGCCGTCGGCTGCGCGCGAGCCTCCGTTCCGTGCCCAGCCGCGCCTCCGGTGTCATGTTCCCCACGCATGCTCGTTTCACGAAACACGTCTCGCGTCCCGCCACCCTCATCAGCGGCCCACCGGCCACCACCGATCGCGCGTTCGCCTGCAGTGGCCGTCGGCAAGAACAAGCGCCTCTCCAAGGGAAAGAAGGGCGGGAAGAAGAAGGCCGTGGATCCTTTTACGAAGAAGGACTGGTATGACGTGAAGGCGCCCAGCTCCTTCTCTCAGCGGAACGTGGGCAAGACGCTGGTCACTCGCACCCAGGGAACCAAGCTCGCCTCCGACGGCCTCAAGGGTCGCGTGTTCGAGGTGTCCCTGGCTGACCTCCAGGGCGACGAGGACCAGGCGTCGCGGAAGTTCAAGCTGCGCTGCGAGGACGTGCAGGGCCGCTATGTGCTGACCAACTTCTGGGGCATGAGCCTGACCACCGACAAGCTCCGGTCCCTCGTCCGCAAGTGGCAGTCGATCCTCGAGGCATCCGTCGACGTCAAGACCACCGACGGTTACACGCTGCGCATGTTCTGCATCGGATTCACGGGCCGCCGCCCCAACCAGGTGAAGAAGACGTCCTACGCCCAGACGTCTCAGGTGCGGCAAATCCGCAAGAAGATGATGGAGATCATGACGAAGGAGGCGTCCACTTGCGACCTCAAGGTGCGACGACGTGCGCGAACTTGCGCACCCCGCGCGACCCCAGGCAGCGTCTGCGGGCAGGCGGCGGCGCCCCTCGCAGCCTGCAGAGGAGATGCCCGTGCGGACTGCGCACGCGAAGTGCTCCCGCGGCCCATCGGCAGCGCGTCTTGGGATCCGTCCTCGGGCCCGCAGCTGCGGAGGCGCGATGCGGTTGCTGTTGCCTCATGAGCCGCTGCCGCACTCGGCGCTGCAGCGACGCGCCCGGCGGCCTTGTCTCGGAATTCGAACCTTTCAGTGTTGAGGAAACGTTTTCGCGCAACTGTTTCGCCTGCGTGCAGGAGGTGGTGAGCAAGCTGATCCCTGAGGTGATTGGCCAGCAGATCGACAAGGCCTGCCAGGGCATCTACCCGCTGCGGGACGTCCACATCCGGAAGGTGAAGGTCCTCAAGGCGCCCAAGTTCGACCTCACGAAGCTGATGGAGGTGCACGACAACTACACGGCCAAGGAGGACAAGGGTGCCCCGGTCGAGCGTCCCGCCGAGCCCGAGGCCGAGGCCGCCTAACGCGCCCGTGTCGTCGCGGGCGGCATCTGCGGAAGTCTGTGATGGCCTGTAGACCTCCCGGCAACGCAGGAATGCTCCTGGCCTCGTCCACTGGTTGCAAAGCTTGCTGCACGCCAGTGTGCACGCTCCACTGGTCGCTTACGGCGCAGCAGTCTGCTTCCTGCAAGGAACTCGGCCGTGCTTTGCTGTCGCTGAGCACCCCTCGCGCCTTACCGGGCACATTCGCCCCACCCCTGCTTCCCCACCTCTGAGCACGGCGGCGAGCGCCCTTCCCGTCACCCGAGGTCCAGGGGCATCCACACCGTCTCAGTACCAGAAAGACGCATCCGTCGTGTCAAACGGCGTTCCAGATGCAGGAGGTCCTCTTCTTCCGGCAGCGTCCCTAACCCTCTGTGCTGCCAGCTGATCAACATGCAGCTCCAGGAGCGGACTCGACAAGCAAGTCTCGTGCACGACTGTCCCGAAATTGTGTGGGTTGTGCCGTGCTGCTCACTGGTCGAAGTTCTCATTCAAGCTGCGTGAACAGGTGTGCTTGGACCCCAACATCCGCAACTTCAGCTTGCCTCATGCATCATGCGCGCGGATGCTCCACCACGTCGTTGCGCTCGTCCGCCCCTTCTTGCTCGACGGGGTGAGGTGAGGTGTCGCATTCTTCGCGTCGTCGACCATAAGGCCTGAAAAGATCACATGAGGTGGTGAGTCAGGTGTAAACCCCCCGACGTTATGGTAGCAGTAGGCTCGGCAGCTGTGGCAGAGTCAGCTCGCAGCAGATCCTCGATGCGACGAGCAAAAAGCGCCATGCCTCGCGGATTCGGCAGGTTCAGAAGATAACGCACAGAAGCATTGGCAGCGGCTTCCGAAACGAGGGCTGCGGCACCGTGCAGGTCCTCGAGGCACTGGCGTAGCCGGCGGTTGGGAGCGAAGCGGCAGCGAACGTGGCCCTCAGTTGACACGTTCGGTCGTACCGATAGTTCATTCTATCTCGCTCGACATTGTCACCGTGATGATGGTGACCAGCATGTTCGTCGAGCCACACACGCACGAGTAACCTGGCGATCCTCCACGCTTTTTCGACGTCATTGACCACCCGTACTGCGGCTGAACGTGTGCTTCGGGAAGTGCCACGAGTAGTGAGTTCCGCAGGGCGGCCGTCATATGTGTCACCACCTGATGCGTGATGTCATTCGCATGTCTCGCTCTGCAGTGTTGGGAGTGCAGAGTCCCCGGCAGACGGCAGCAAGACTCGTGGTGGTGCCTGCCGACGAGTATCCGCACGCCCGCGGAATTCGTAACTGCTTCAGGTCTTCCTCACGGTGCTCGTACGTGTGTGCTGGGACCCCGACATGTGCACTTTGCTGTTGCTAATTTTGCGTACGAATGTCCCACTGCCGTCGCTACGCTTAGCCACCCCTTGCTAGGTCAAAGTGATCTCCTGCAGGCTTCTGCAGTCTGCGTGCTGAAGCCAATGAATGGCCATCCGCCGCGTCCTGCACACCCGAAGGGCGCAGCGCTGAACACCACGGCGCGCACGAGCACGTTCGTTGGACATTGCAAGTAGGCTTTGCTGCAGTGGGCGGGAGCTTCACCGTCGCATTTTACCATCCCATTTTTGCTGACCGATGTGATGTCGATGGAATGCGTGGTCGAGCGAAAAATTCTGGGCCACCTGAGAGTGCATGCTTAGCAACACGCCCCCAATCCCATACCAGGCTGCCTGAACAGCTACCTTGGTAGCATCTTCGCGGCGTCGCTGATTGATAAGGCCCTGCGGGCGTCGGTGCTAGTTTTGGCAGCCTGTGGGGGGCGGATGCCGAGCCGAGATGCAATGTACTCTCGGCACACGTGGCGTGCTGCCATGTCGAGGGCTCGCCGGGCCGGCGGCATCCCGCACCCCACGTGCGAACGTGGAGTACTCTCGCCTCGCCGAGGCGAGCAGCGAGCATTGCTGGTCACCGAGGCGCTTCGGATGATCGCTCGTCGAACCCCTTCTGTGCGAAGATGAAGTTGACTCACTGAGTCAGGCCGTTGGACGCCGATGACTCGTCACAAGCTGAGTCGGACTCAGCCGTACACACACACGGCATTATGTTCGTGGCGGGTCCGCGTTCATGCACAGTGAGGCTTCGCTGGTAACTTGCAACGTAGCTTGTTCGTGTTTTCGCCCTCCATCCATTTACTGTCTCCAAGCAGTGTGAGGCTCCCCGGCCGGACCCACCTTGCCAGTTGGTCTCCAGGGGGGGCGACAATAGGTACAGCAGCGTTCTCCGGAGGAAGGCTGCCGGTCTGCTGGCACGCGAGCGCGCGGCAAGGCCATCTCTCAGGCAGCCTTCTGGCTGCGTGAGCCAAGGACTCCGGCAGAAGGAGACGTCGGTTTCGAGCACTGGTCAGTGGCGCAGAGCCTGCGACTCTGGTGCGTGCACTGCACGTGCTGTTGCGCACATTTCGGTGAAGAGCCGAGGGGAGGAAGTGTCGAGGCGAAATGTCGTTCATGGACGCCCGTGAACACGGGGCCAAGATGGGCACCGGATATGTCTCGGAACAACAAGCGGTGAGTACGGCTATGGGCTACTCCCGCGCAGCGGATCGCATTGCAACGTGCAGCCGCTCAAGGGGCAGGTCGCCCACGGCGCTCTTGCCTCGCCGTCAGCAAGACCCTGCACGTGAATGCGCGTCGTGATAGTCCACCAAACTCGCTGCTGCCTGGTCGGCTGGCCGGCCCGCTGGTTTCGAGACTACAACGCCTGAACAACAGCCCTGCTGCTCCCAGTGCTGCAGAATCAAGATCGTCGCGAACGCCTTCGCAAGCTCGCGCTCGAGACCATCGACCTTGCCAAGGATCCTTACTTCTTTCGCAACCACGTCGGACAATACGAGTGCCGTTTGTGCTTGACGGTGCACACAACAGAGGGGTCGTACTTGGCGCACACTCAGGGCAGGCGTCACCAGCAGAATCTCGCCAAACGCGCCGCCCTCCAGGCACGTGACGCGCCGGCGGCGCCGGCGCCGGCGCGGCGGCCAGCCGCAGGTCCAGCCAGGCGGGCAGTGCGCATTGGGAGGCCGGGGTACCAGGTTACGAAGCAGTTCGATCCCGAGACGCGGCAGCGCAGTCTTTTGTTCGAGATAGACTACCGCGAGATCGAGGAAGGCAGGAAGCCGCGACACCGTTTCATGTCGGCGTATGAGCAGCGCAAAGAGGATAAGGACCACCGCTTCCAGTACCTACTTTTCGCAGCAGAGCCCTACGAGGTCATCGCGTTCAAGGTCAGCTCGAGCGAAATCGACAAGCGGGAGGGGAGATTTTTTACGCATTGGGACCCTGACGGGAGGCGGTTCTCCCTGCGCATCACGTTCAAGCAGCCCAAGCCGCTGGCTGGATTGGGACGTCCTGTACCACTTCCTCCACCGCCTCCCCATGCTGATGCGGTTCCACCGTGGGCTGGAGGTGCTTCTCACCGGCCGCCACCGCCACCAACGATCGCTAGCATTCCCCCGCCGCCGTCTGTGCCGCCACCTCGCGGTGCGTGACAAGGCGGTGGAAGATCGGAGTCCAGTCACGTCGAGACCGAGCCGGTCCGGGCCGCCGTGTGTGTGACGCGCCGTGCCACCGCGTAAGCCCCCGTGTGTCGTTGATGTGGGCAGCAGGTGCTAGCATTATCAGTACTGCCGTCGAAGCTCATGCCTTACACGTGGTTTTTGAACGCGCGTCCCTCGTAGCTGACGAAGTCCGGTACGACAAATCAGCATTGTGGCCTCGCAACCGTGCGCGGTGTTCCAGAGCTTTCTCTGCACCTCCGCATGTTACTGCAAGACAGCGGACTTCCTGTGCCATTGTGGGTCCTAAAACGGCAGATGTTGGCTGGAACAGAAGGGGGGGCCTGCAGCCGTATGCCACGTCGGCATTGGGACTAGGACACGTCTCTCAACCTACTCTAGTGAAGAACAAGCGCATTGCCAGTGGTTTTATGCCCGCGATGTACAGACAGTCTTGCAAGTTGCAACGACCGCAGCAGCCGGGAGCATCAGCGCGCAGTTTTCAAGGGTTGGCACTGACGCAGCAACCCCTTGTCAGGGAGTTACTTGATGTCAGGCCCGGCCTGTTGCACGTCTCCGACTGGGCGACAAGGCAGGACAGCGCCGTCTTGCCCTCGCAAACTGCTCCGTGCTCGGCGAGCCAACCTTGACGGCCGGGTGTGCGAGGCCGCTCGCGCTTGCTGAGCTCTCAGCCAACTTCTGCGCACCGCGCGCGACGCAGGTGTACGATGGCAGGTGCTCCGGGCAACAACATCCCAGGGATGTTTGACCCGCAGATGCTGCAAGCCCTGCAGGCGAACGCGGCAATGACTTCGGAGGCGCAACCGACACTGCCGCTCGGCCCATTTGGTTTTGGCCCTGCCAATTTCTTCTCCCTGCCTGCCGATCAACAGCTGCTCGCCATGAGTCAGTTCGCCATGTTCCATCCTGGACAAGCGGTGCTGAACCCGGACATGGGCGCCGGAGCGGGCCCCGCGGGGCAGCCTGACGACGATGAAGGCAGTGACGACAAGGGCCGCGGCCGGGGGAAGCGACCGCACCTGCAAGGGAGGTTCTCAGGACGTCTCCAGGAAAAAGAGGACGAGAAGCGGCTCGTGGAGGAGTGCAAGCTGATAGCGACGCTCGTGGGCGGCGTGGGGAAGCGGGGCGACCGCTCCAGGCAGGCCTCGATGCCCCCCCGCGCTCACCGCATTCGGTACCGCGCGACACGCCGGCTGCTCATGGACCACGAGCTTTTCGCATATCTTGGTCCGCGCGCCGTGCAGGTCAACGCTGGCGAAGATTGTGCGGGGCATCGCCTCAGGGGAGGTGCGCCACTACCTCTCCACCAGGGAAGTGCGCTTGCGCGAGACCGAGAGGAACTACGACATCCTCACCAGGCAGGCGACGCAGGAGATCGTCGGGTTGAAGCAAGAGAACGAGCGAATCCGGGAGGATCTCCGCAAGGCTCACGCGGTACGCTGACCCACCACGGCGAGGCGGGGCAGCTGCTTGTGCTCGCCGCGACGTTCCCCTCGAAGCCAGCGCGCGAGGGACGCGGCAAGACTTCCTGAAGCTCACGTGGCGTCTGTCGGCGTCACTCGCAGGTGATGCGCGAGAAGGACATCCCCATCCCTGAGCCCACGCCTGCGCCACCAGCGGCCAGCGGCCCGCTCCTTCCTGATATGGAGCAAGCCCTGCCTGGACTGCACGGCAGCGCCTTCGCCGATCTCAGCCACGCTGCCGCACCCTTTGGGGCGCCGCCCGCAAGTGCGCGGGGGGATGGCAACCAGGACCAGTACGGCGACGGGGCAGCGGGCGGTGGCTCCAGCGCACCCGACCACAAGCCAGACGTATCGCATGAGCCCGCGCACGTTGAGACGTCGGCCGGAGCGGTGCGCTCCGCGAGGGAACCTTCCGTGAAGGACGAAATGGCAATGAACATGGAACATGCTGCTCCAGGAAACGAAGACGACGTGCAAGGCGAAGACGATGGCAAGGCTACGAACGGCGAAGGTGGCACAGGTGATGGTGCTGGATGCCGCGCCGGTGATGCGGCTGCAGCGGATGAGCACACTGGCCAGGCGCAGTAGGTTTTGATTTCTGCCACAGCCCCCGGCATCCTGGTCGATCATAGCTCCTTGTCGACAGGCTGCTGTCACACGGCTGAGAAGCTGCCGCGAGGATGAGGTGAGGTGTTACATTCTTCGCGTCGTCAGCCATATGGCTTTGGGACCTGGAAAGATCATTCGGATGTGAGTGCGCGGAAGTAATTAGGTTTACAACCACACGTGCAATGTCGGTCGCAGCGACGTTGACGAATGTCACAGAGGTCACGCACCTTGTTCAAGTGTGGGAGCTCGGGCTGTCGGGGGGTGGCAACCGTTGATTGCGAGTGCAGTGCCACTCCGGGAGCTCTCCCTGTCAGCACTTGCCCAGTGCAGGCTGTCCGCGCGGTGGCTAGCTGATAGCCGTTGTCATCGACGATACCGCGCCAATTTCTGGTGCGGTCTGCTTGCTCGCGTCATCATGAAAAATGCTGGTACATGTCTCTGCCGGGTCCGCCTGCACGAGCCACAAGCTCCGCCCGGCCTCGGGACATGTTGCGTCAGCGACAGTCCAATGGGACCGCTCGTTCGAGTTCCCGAGCTCCATCCCACCTGCTGATGAGTGACTGAGTCACTCAGTCGATGTTGGTTCAGCTGAGTCAGACTCCAGCGCAGCCAGGACACAACGGCCGGGGCACCCGCGACGGCCGCGAAGATGAAAGGCGTCCAAGTTGCAGCATCGTCGTGCTGATTTTTCCGGCGACCAACGCGCAGACCACGGCGGGTGCTGGATCGGGTAGGGGTAGAGGCCCTGAAGGGCGTACGCGGGCGGCACGAGCGTGACTCTCGTCTGGCCGATCACCGGCACAACAAACGTGTCCCGCTCCACGACTTGCAGGGGCAGGAGGAGGCGATCCGGGATGCACTGGATCATCACGCGCTGGATGCCGCGCAGGCCGCAGCGCGTCTCGAGGTCCCAGAACGCCCGGCACCTTCGCAGTGCCGCGACGACCGCGCACACCAGAGGGCCGCTCAGGGCACCGGTGTCGCGAAGGGCAGTCAGAGCGGCGTCGCGGATCCGCCTGTACGAAATGTTGTACCGCGAGGCGGACGAGCGAGCCTCCGCGGACACCAGGATGTCACCGGAAAGAACGGTCGAGCACGTCGTAGCATCTCCGGCGTCCCTGCAGTCTTCGAAGCTCATGTTGACGTTCTGGTCGAGCGGCGCCTTGGCAGGATCGACCGCGGCGCCGTCGGTGCGCGGAAGCATCGCCACGCGCGAGGAATCGCGGCGCTCCACGCCTGCGTACCAGGTCCTCCCATGGGGCTGAGCTTGCGTGGCGAGGGGGGCAGCAGGGTGGCGTCTGACGCGTGGACGTCTGAGAAAAAAAAGGCACAGGCGGCTGGAGCACGAAGAACGGATCGTCCGCCGCGGGCGGGCGCAGTTGCGGCGGCTTCTTGCCTGGCAATCGACGGGTTGCTTCTTGCGCAGGGCTGCGCGCGAATCTGCCCCCCAGCGCCGTCCCCAGCGATAGGTTCGTGAGGATGATGGGTGCGCTCGCGCAGATGAAGGTCACCGCCGTCCACAGCGTTGGCCCGGGAGCCTGATGAGTGGGTGGCTCGGGGTCCTCGTTCGCGGTCACCCTGAGGATCTCGGCATCGGCACGACTGCGCGCAGGCGAGCAGACCGTGAGATGCTCGCGGCCGATTGGAGGGCCGGCGACGGGGGGCCCAGGAGACGTCAAGGCGAGGCGTAACAACCAAGACAGCGAATGACGACATCGCGAAGGGGCGGAACAGCGATATCGCTGCGTCCCCGCGACGAACGCAAAATGAATGACCGTTTCGTTTGAGTGGCGCGCGGATCGTGCTGCGCACCAGGCGACCAATCGCGACTGCTGCTTCGGACGGGTGGCTTCGTTCGCTCCGTCACGGGGAACACGGCTCGCAGGCGACGAGCGATTGTTTTCGCCGTCGCAGGGGGGGAAGGATTCGCCGGCCGAGGGGACGGCTCCGCGGCCGTCGGGGGCACGCCCTGCGCAGCAGAGCGTGAGCGTGCCCCACATCCTGCGCGCCCACGAACGTCGAGGCATCGATCCCGCTGTCCCGGTCCAAGTTTGCGTCCAAGGACCCGGGCGAGCTGCTCAGAAGGCCGGAGGCTGGCCGGCGCCGACCACCACGTTGAGTGTCCTACTTGACTGCAGCTGACCGGGCAGCACGGCGTCGCCGCAGGGGCGGAGCCGCGGGTACGTGGCGGGAGCAACACGGGGTGTAGGAAAAGCACGCTCGCTGACGATCATGACAGTCCGTCTCGCGCAGTCTCACTTGTCAGCTGGACGGCAAATGAGGCCCGACGAGCACGTCTGCGGTGCGCTGGTGCTCGTCGTCCCCTCCGTGCGCTCTACACCTGCATTTTAATCACCCGCGTCGGCCCCTCGAGGTTGCTCCACTCCTGCTCGATGCACAGCCAGAGCAGACCCACGTCAATCTCCCGACCGCGCAATTTCTCCGTCAGCGACTCGCAAACGTCCACGACCCGCTTCCTCTCGGCCTCCGAAAACTGCCTCGACGTCAGCAGGCGCACGAGCGTCGAGTGGTAGATCCTGCGCGCCAGGAATCGAGACCAGAGACTCGCAACTCATGTTTGCACGTCTCTCACGCCGGGCAACAGCGCAGACGCTCCGGCGCAGCAACGAACGCACCTCGGAGACCGCGGCGGCGCCCCGGCGAAGGCCTCGCGGCAGGCCGCCTTGAACTGCGCCAGCGGCAGGCCCTCCGCCACCTCCGTCCACGTCGCAAGCAGGCACCCGGACCGCGCTAGGACGATCCGCTCCAGCCTGAGCCGCGTCGCGGGCGTGTCCGCAGCGAGGTGGCGCACCACCGCGACCTCGCGGGCCACCGCGTCCTCCGTGGGCGCGGGCCTCTGCCGCACCGGAAGCGAGAGCGCACAACCCCCCCCCGGCTGCAGCGGGTCCGGCCGCGTGTCATGGGGCTCGGACATGAAGAACGCCGTGACGTGGAGCTTGCTCGTCGGGTTGATGTACAGCGGCGTGCTCGGCGGCAGCGCCCGCAGCACCTGCGACGCAGCGACACGACATGGTGCATCAATCACATCGTTGCGCCGCCGTTCACTTCGCAGCGCATCCCCTGAACCGAGCAGCATCAGGCAGGGAAACGCACCTGCGCCGTTGCGTTGGCCAGGATGCTCGCCATGGCTGCATTGTTCGGCTGGATGGGGGCGACGACGAGGCGAACGGCATTCGGCGGGTACGGCGGCGACATGCGCTCGTACTTCGCCGGCCACCGCGTGGGGACCTCGCGAGGGTCGTTGCTTCCTGCGGCGCGGGCGCGGCGGTGCGGCGGGGTCGCGGGCGTCCGGCACGGCGCGTCGCGTCGCGGCGTGAGGTTGCGGGGTTATCACCTGCGTCCGTTCCGCTGTGGAAGTTCGGCTGACTCCTCTCGATCGCGGGGATGTCGAGGCCGCTGCTGGCGAACTCGGCGTGCATCGACTCGTACGTCCGCCGCAGCAATGCCGCCTCGTGGCGCGCTACGATCTCTGCAGCCGTCTCCGCGGGCGGCGCGGGGGCCGGGGACGCGGCCGCGGCGCCCTGGGACGATGCCTCCTGCTGCAAGGATCCGTTCGCTTCCTCGTCGGCGTGCGCTGGGAAGCCCGCGGCCTTCCGAATGTCCGCTGCGAGACTCAGCACATCTAAACGACCTTCGCCTCGCTTTGGTGGCGACTGTTCCCGCTTCGATCCGCCGTCCCCGAGCAGTTTGGGCACGAGTGTGCCCAGTGCCACAGCGCCGGCGACGACCAGGCCCTGGAGCAGGAGCTGTTTCGCATTCGCCCCCTTTGGCTCCTGTGCGGGGCTCCCGGGCGCGATTGCGACCGCGGGGGGCTGCAGGGATTGCGCGGATGACGTCACGATATCACTGGGGTCCACCTCGCGCGACGCGCTGGCAGCGTTGTCCTCGGCAGTCGCAGCGCAGCGGGCCGGCCCACTGTGCGGCTCCCTCACGCTGGCCTCGCTGGCTGAAGTCATCGCAGCGGGCGCACTGACCGCCACGACACGGAGAAGGCCCCCGCGGTAGTCCGTCAGCTCCAACGCCACCGGACCCTTCTCGGCCCGCGGCCGGCAACACTCGGACTGACATGATGATCTCCAGCGCAGCCAGGACACAACGGCCGGGGCACCCGCGACGGCCGCGAAAATGAAAGGCGTCCAAGTTGCAGCATCGTCGTGCTGATTTTTCCGGCGACCAACGCGCAGACCACGGCGAGGTCTCACACCCTATGGCGTTGCGCCGCAAGCCTCCAGCCCACGCCGAAGCATCTGAATCCGCAAAGCATGGCAGTGCAGATGTGGATGACGAGGCGCGTCGCGAACGCGAGCGTGCCGATCGGCTTCAACAGGCGAGAAATCACCCAGCAAAGCTCTGGGCCCCCCGAACGCCACGCGGCTCGACGACGCGCCGAGCGGACCGCGCGGCGCTAGTTTGGCCACATGGTTGGCGTGCGGCGGGGCGCACAGATGCGTCTATTTCGTCCAGAGTGCCACACGCAGGAGGTGGCTCGGCTCACAAAGTGGGCGTGCCCGGGAACGGCGGAGCCAAGCGAGCAATACCACTATTTCATCCTGTTGCGCGAGCTTCTGATTGCAGCGATATTCGGCACGCTGGAGGACTACATGGTTCAGGTGGTTTCACAAAGTCGAGTTGCGTGTGTGCGGAGTTCCCAGCTTCCTCGCGCTCACCGTTTGCCTCGACAGCGTAGGCACTGTGCCCTGTGGTGCCGGCTGCGAGTCGCCGGAACTCCGGCTCGCCCGCATGTACTCTGGTGGCCAGATCGCAGCGCGATCACAGGTTGCTGCAACTTGTATTTTTTCCACCCGCAGTGGGTGTCATACCAAGACCTCGATTCTTACACGCCGCTCCTAGACCCCGTGATGAACGGGCTGAATCGCAACTGGGAGTTTTCGGAGACATACCTGAAACTCGGTTACAGGCAAGCCACATCGGATCCTACCATTCTTGCTGCAAACGCCATCCGCTCGCGGGCCAGCGACGCCGGGCCAAATGCAGAGCGTGGCATTCTGCTTCGCCCACGACGCCTTCAGCTCGCCGACCAGCGACAGCAACGTCTGTTGCGTGCGCAATGCAGCATCTTTCACAAACCTGTCGAACTCATCGTCGCCGTTGCGGCTGCCTTCGCGGCGCTGCACGGACCACTCGGATTCAACATGGTAGTCAAAGCGACGCGTGCGGTGTGGGTGTCGCGCACGCTGCGGATACCAACGATGTCGAGCACAATCCTTCCGAATCCAAGGCCCATATGCCACCAGCTCCTAAAGATTCGAGGTGGGTCACACGTCGCCGGCCGTGAAACCTTTTGTCGGTGCAAGGTAAAACAATCAGTTGCGTCGCGCAGCTCCTGACACGAGCGCAGGTGCGTAACTCTGAAGCTCTGCCAGATGTTGTGCAGCACATGCGATTCTGACACTGCAGCGCTTCCGCCGATCCGCAGAAGGACGGCCTCGCTGGTTCCGCTTCGACTTCTCAGGAGCTTGCTCCGATCTCATCTTCAGCGGCCACATGTGTATGTATTGTGCCGTTGGCGTTGCGTCGTGGCAAATCGTCCGTGTCTGGCACAGAAAGCTCCCCACGCGCTCCTTCGGCCCGTGTACGTTGATGGGGCGATTGATGTGGCTGGTGCCCGCGTTTGTATGGCTGCTCATCATCCAGCGAGCACTTCTAACCGTCTACCAGCGCTACCACTACGCAGTAGACGAGTGGGTGGGCATGATGGTGTACTTGCTGGTGTACTACTGCCCTCCTCTCAACTACGGCATCCCACCCGTCATCTGACCGGCAAAGCAACCGTGTGTGCAAGTCCTAGTGAAGGCCAATCATTGATATCCTTTTTTCGACAGGTGCACTCGCGTGAAGCTGAAGTCGCGCGCGCACGTAAATCGGTCGCTCGCGAGGCATGACGAAGCGGGCCGGTGCCTGTCACAGACCGAAGAATGGGAGGCCGTACACAACAGAAAAGTACACCAGCGCTCCTGTAAAGATATAGCTATCAAAGCGGTCCAGGACGCCGCCGTGTCCTGGGATAAGGGCGCCGGAGTCCTTCATACCAGCCCCTCGCTTCATCGTGCTCTCGATCAGGTCTCCAAATAAGGACGTGAAAAAACAAACAATGCCAACCAGGCTGCCCACTGCCACCGGCGTGGGCCACGACCACATGCACGCAAGCGCGCTTGTCACGCCCGTTGCTGCAAGTAGACCGCCGACAGCGCCCTCTACTGTTTTCTTCGGCGATATTTTGATCAGCTGTGTTTTCCCAATAGTGCGCCCGACCAAGAACGCCCCTGTGTCGGCAGCGACGACCGCAAGGCACGCCATCAACGTCGCCAACAGCCCGACAGTGACCTGCGATGGCAGGGAGAGCGACGTTTCGGCCCCTCACTTCGAACAGCCTGCTGCTGTAACACTGCTAGGATTCTCGGTTGGTCACGCACCTGCGTTGGGCCTCCCAGCCATGTGGGCCACGCCTGGGCAAGTCCGGATGCTGACGTAGCGGGCAGCGCCAGAAACCTCAGCTTGATCCAGAAGGCCGGGAGGAATCCCGAGTACAGCACGCCAAACGACGACATCGCAAACTCCCGAAGAGTGGGCTTTTCGGACGCGACAACCTGGATCACGAGCAGCGCGAACACGCCGACGGCGAGCACGAACGACGGCCTCCCTGCAACAGCGTCCCGAGGCGACAGTACGCCTGTTGGCACCTCGCTCGCACCATGGGGGGCTGTCGTTGCAGTCGCAGTCGCGCCGGACGACCGAGGCGTCGAGAGACGCAAGCAAAACGGCACCTGGCCGTCCGTTCTGCGCAGGTACGGGCAGGGCTCCCGTACCTAAGAAGCACGTAGCGATGCAGGTGAGAGCTGAAATCGCGCTAGCGGCCAAGGGGAGCGCAGGTGGTGGTGCCTCGTGGCCTCGCGCAGTCTCCTCGCTGCAAACAAATGACCAGTATTCACGGGACACCTGCACCACAGTGAGGATGAGCCTTGGGTTGAGCAAGATGTCCGTCACGATTGCAAACGTCCGCGTGCTGCTCGTTGTGACCGACGTTGCCTAGATGCACCTCGAAGTCATCGTCATGCAGCAGCGGCCCTTTGCGCTTCATGCAGCAAAGCACTGCTGATTTCATCAACGAGGATGCTTCTCGCAGCTGCCCTCATGTCCGACCAGCATCCTCACGCGCGACGTGGGTTGCTCCTTTCGGCGTCGCGATCTACCAATGACAAACCAGGCAACGAGGGCTCATGCTGGACGGCAGCAGACGCAAGGTGCGACTGAACCACCTCGGGGATGCAGGCAAACCGCGTGAACTTCCGCGCTGCCACAATCCATCGGCGCCGAGCGCGAGTCGCGATGATTGATCGGCATCGAGCGCCGTGCTACGCGGGCTCCCGACAGAAGGTAGACTGTGGAGCGCTGGCAACTTGGGCGGAACGTGCTGCTCAGTCCGGTACGAAGGCTGCCAGCGCAGGGCACCGCGTCACGTGCAGGGGAGACCTTGCCTGCCATGCGAGGAGCGTCACGAGAGCCATGTAGATGTAGCCACCGCTGAGCACAGCGAAAGCGCCAACTCCACCCATGATGCATCCAGCGATGGTTCGCATGGCGAAATCAGACGGCGTCTTCGATGCATTTGCCTTGCCCCCGACATCACGTCCCGATCCACCATCTTGATCTGCTCCGAATCGCGCTCCTGGCGTCCCAGCTCGACACCGCGTAGGTCCAGGGCAGAGTCGCCCCTGCAATGAGCGCCAGCGCTTCGCATCGCCGCCAGCGCAGAGCTCTCCTGCTTCAAACCGACCCCTGCAGAGACTCTTGCTACCTGGGGCCACGCTGCGCGCTTGCTTGCACGTTACATGGCGGCGCGCCGCTGCGCAGGCCCTGGGTGCACTGCACCCGCGAACATTCATGCCCGCGCGGCAAGGAAGGAACAAGGAAATTTTCCTTAAATTCCTCGCTGTCGCAGGCTCGAACTGCCCGCATGCGAATGTGACCAACACGTCGGACCGCAGGGTGACGAGGCGGCCTCACAGTGACTGACTGTCAGTCAGTCAGTGACAGCACACTGAATTCAGCGAAGCAAACGAGTTCATCGAGGGCCGTAAGAAATGACAGGGTGGCCGGAAGCAACGACAGCGTTGGAGCACCCGCGTAAGAGACGATGCCATCATCCCATCATGCCGATGGTCCAACACACCTGCGCGATCAGCTTGAAGGGGTCCTCGGTCGGTGACGAGTCCCGCGGCGTGTCCGGCTGAGGCGCTACAAAAGTGATCCCTGTCGCACAGCGCCATCTGCTGCTCGCAAAAGTCATTTCACAGCGCTGGTGCGCCTGATGCATTAGACGGATGCGGGGCACCAGCTTGCTGGAAGGGCGCAACGACACTTGCGCGATGTGTGGACCGCCTTACAGGCCCTCATGCGTGCGCCCCTTGCCCAGCCCTGCAACGGTGAGCATAGCATCCACAGCCTGCTGCTGCTCAACCTTGGCACGCCTGGCATCAAGCACGGATCCAACTTGCATCGCCTCCATCTCTGCAAGTGCTGCCCTCTCGCCTCGAACCCGATCTAGATTCGCTCTCGCCTTCTCCTCACGGTTGGCCTGGATTTGCTTCGCCAGCTCGATGCGGTACAGCTTCTCCTTCAACCGCTTCTCCGTTGCTTCCTTCCCCTCGTCACGCTGCCCTGGCAAACCAGCGCCGGCCGCCCCCGCCGTGAGATTTTCATCACCTGGCGCGACCGCCGGGGCCATCTTCTGCTGCGAGGATCGCACTTGGCCGATCCTCGCCGCAACTGCAGCATACTTCTTCTGCTCAGTCTCTGCAACGGCAGCACGCAGCTCCTGGTGGTACGCCCGCCGCGCGGCGTCGCTCTTGGCCTGCAGATCGTGCGCGCGCCGTTCAAGCTTGACGCGGTGCTCTGAGAGCTTCTTTGCTTCCAGCGCTTCGCGCTCTGCGTCGCGCTGTTCCTGCTCCGTCTGCTTCAGCACGGCGGCGCCATATGAGCGCTCCGCCGCCTCGTCGAAGCCGACGACCCGCTTTTGAACAGCGCGCTTCGACATGATCAGCCTGCCTTTCCCGCCATAGCTGAACGCCGCTGCTTCAGGGTCGAAGTCCGCAACGCCACTGGCAACGCCTGCTGGCTTCACGTCCCCAGCATCGGGCCCTACGAGTGCCTTGCTCGGGTCGACCATCTTCTTGCCTTTGTTCAGGTTTATCAGCAGTCGCGTTCCCTGGCCCACGACGAGCGCCATGTCCTTCCCGCCATCCTTTCCACCCAGGCCCTGCAACGACGAACCGTCCCCCCCCTGCAGGAGCGCCTTATCACGCCGCGCCGCAACCTGCGGGGAGCGGGCGACGGCGTGGTGAGCTCGCAGGGCGCACGCGAGCTCGCCTGGTGACATGCAAGTTTTCCCAACGGCATGCCCTGGGCCTACCTCGGCTTGTGTGGCCGCAGAAGCCTTCTTCCTCGCCTCCAGCTCGCGGATTCCCGCCAGAACGTCAGGTGCATAGCCCATCTGCTGCAGCACACGCAGCTGCTCTTGCTCGGGCAGGTCGACGAAGTCGGCACCCCTCCTGGAATTTCCTGCCCTGCAGGCCGGTTTCTCACCCCCGTGCGACTCGGCCGCATGACCGTGATGCTGCTCGCGCGGCTGCTTCTCGAGTGCTGGGACAAAATCGATGCCCGGCTCATCGGCACGGCCCGCATCGGAGCCGTATCCTGAATTCCAGTTCACGATCGGCTCGGGAGGCTGGGTCCCCGTGCCGCGACCCGTACCGACGACGGCCTGCGCGACACGCTTGGAGCAGATGCGCGCGGGGCGATGCAGCCGCCTCGGAGAAAGCGTGTTGGCGTTCCGATGGTCGGCACTAGCCGTCTTGGAAGCCGTCGCACGTCCATCAGCCGCGGACGTGTCCGCCGCTACGTGCCGCGGTACGTGTACGGGCGGTGCCGGCGCGGCCGACACGTCGAGGTCCTCCGGGGCACCATCCCGTGCCATGTTGAAATGTACTCCAGGAACTTTCCTCGCACGTCCGGTATCGCTGCCGTGCCCGCCCGCGAACCGCGGTGAGAACCTCAGACCCACAAACCCATCGTTCTTCAACAGCTGTCCAACGCCGAGGTCCAGCGCGGAGGGAGAACGAGACGCCAGCTGAGCTCCTGCTGCACTGATCAAGTGCTTCAGGGCGGTCGCGAGAACGTTCTTCTCGATCGGACCTCCCGCAACATCAGGAGAGAACGTGAGCGCGAGTTTTGCGTAGTTGATGTCCTCGACGTGCGTTTTCGAGCGGCCTGCAAGGGTAGGGGGCTGGGCCCTCACTGAGCAAGTGGCGCATCTGGCGGCCTGCGTCACACCAGGATGCATGTCGAGCGCGGGGACGCGTGTATGCACGCCGATTGCCAGAGCATGCTTCATGGTCGGAGGATCTGTTCTCCATCATGGCGCCATGCATGTCTGCCACGCATGCATCTCCGGAGACCTCGCTGACCGCGCCTCTCGAAATCGGCATCAACGTTTTGCGATACAAGGTGCGAGCAAACAGCGGGGCCGGAGGAATCTGGTGCGGCATGCAGCAGGGGCAACATGTGAGGACCACCTGCCGAGCCCGTTGCGCCTGGGTTCGCCTGCTTGAGCCTGTGCTGCTGACGAAAGCCATCCGCAAGATCGAAAGCCGGTCGCCGCTTCGCAGAAGTCGGCTCCGAGACCCAGGATAACTGTAGCCATGCGAGTTGGGAAGGCATGCAGAGTTTGTGCTCCGGGGCTGGGGCTGCGCGGGCGCATGCTGCGGCTCGGGAGCGGAGAGCTAGCAAGACCTTGTTGACATGATCGGAACAGTCGCAAGACGTTCCTAGGTTCGGGCACGCAGGGCACACACTGGTGTTTTTGCGCTGCAGGCTGCGGGCGGCGATATGGGTGCCGCCCCTCGCGCCATGGCGGCAGCGCACCTTGACAAATCCTGGAATATTGCAGCCCAGACGTTTTTCGAAGCGCTCGCGCGTCCATGCCTGCAAGCAGTGCCATGCACAGCGGTATGCGTCCCGCGACAGACCCGGCGCCTGCACCTTCTCTGCCCTGCGCGAGCACTCGTCGATGATCACCCGCTCCATGGCAGTGAGACTCGCACGTGCAGGAAGCGCCTGGCAAGCGGCCGCCTCTCTCGCGCGGCCGTACTCGAACTTGGTGCTCAGCCCCCGAGCCCTCGTGGCGCCCAATGTGGGACGGCGCGTATGGCTGACAGGCTCGGTGGCTCAGCCATTCGAAACGGGTCCCCTAGCATGGAGTCTGAGACTCTGAGTCAGACTGTCTGACTCTGAAGCCTTCTACTCGCCCCGGGGGCGAAGCCCGCGCGGACTCAGTCGGGCCGTGAGCTCGAGGCGAATCGTTCAACCAATGAGCTGGTCGGGCGAGGCGCCTCTGCAAATTTCTGTGCGGCACGAGAGCCCAGCGAGCAGGAAATACATCGACACCAGCGTGCAGCCACCCCTGAAGTTGACCGTGGCCACACAGGCCGGCAGGCAGCGAAGCGCACGGTCGGAGATGAAGCATTCTAGCAGGGCGTAGCAGTTCCTAGTGACAGACTGCGAAGAAGAGTGGCGGCCAACCACTGCGAACCCGGCTAGGTGCACAACGACCAGAGCACTATGCATGGTCCTATGCGCTGTCGCTCGTTGAGCAACCGTATGCGGCTACTCACGTGCACGCGCACTTTCAGAGCAACTTCCTGCAGGGCATCGCGGGGAGGCGAAAGCCGCCGAGGCCAGGTATTGGCAGGTGGAGAGTGCCGCAGCCAGAGTAGACTGGTGCGCGGGAGCGGTTCTGTTCTTGGTCTAGGCACCTGGAGCTTTGTGTGCCCCCACCATCCTCACGTGTTGCGCGGCGCAGCCGATGCTCCGTGGTTCTAGTGCGTCGTCGGCTGTCCAGCAGGAGGAGCAGAGCAATGCTGACCAGCAGGCTGCTAGCACCAGCGACGTGCATCATCTCCAAATTAGCGCACCAACCGTGACGAAGGAAAAAGGGACATCGATACCAAGGACTTCTCACCACTCGGGGATTTATGTGCACGCGGCGGTGAGTGCCCCCACATGACATGCATTACCGCGCAAGCCCTTCGAGCAAGCGCGTGGCAAGACACGGACGCCTCTACGTGGATGGTGCAGAACAGCAGCAGGCGCGGCGGGGTCGGTGCGGCCTCTTGCGACGGGGCAGCGCTGGAAAGCTTGCAAGAGGACACACGATGCGGTAGGGTCGCGAAGAAGCGCACGTTCGTGCATTTTTTCGACACGATCTGCTGCATGACATAAGGTTCGGGTTTCGGACTCACTTTCTAGTTGAAGCCGAAGTCAATATGAAGCACCAGCACGGTGCATCCAAAGCCCGGAAACCAACGTGCGCCACGAGACGGAGTCCGGCAGCCCGCGTTGCAGGCAGGCCCCCCTTCGCCTGCTTCGTCAAGGTCTCCCATCCCGTCTCGGCCCCCTCGACTAGCGGTGGTTGCACTAGCAGACGAACGTAGGAGCTCGGTCGGCGTGTCCGTATAGTCGAACGCCAAACATGTGTCTGTCGTTGCAGCGGACATGCACTGCTACAGAAGCGGACTGTGGGAGGGGGGGGGGGGCATCGCGCCCATGCCCGCCGCGGCCATGCACTGCATCGACGACAGCACGTTCTAGGGGAGATACCAGACTTCGCGCCGGCCCGTCCCACCAGCCGCGATGTCGAGCCGCGTTGGGCGCATTGTGAATACGTTGGTCATTCCAGGGCTGCCAGCCTTGATGAGCGACGCATGATCCTACAGCGAGGCACATCCCCGTGAACGATTACGGTTAATACACCCCCCCCTAACCCGACCCGCCCGCCCCCCCCTCTCCCCTCCCTCCCCCAACCCCCTTCCTGAGGCCGTGCGGGTGTTCCGCGGCCCTGGAGCCCCATGATAACGTCATCGGCATGTTAACGATCACACGCACGAGCTTCCTGGGCACTGCACCCCCACCCCTGACAACCACCACGCGGATCCGCTGCTCAACGTGTGCTTCCAGGAGCGGCCCGAGTAGCGGGTGACGTGAGGGGCTGTCACCTGACATGCGTGATGTCATGCGTGCTGTCTTGCTGGGCAAGGTCGCCGGCCGACGACATCGGGACGCGTGGTGGGGCTTGCCGACGAGTACCCGCACGCCCGCGGGGCTCGTCACTCATCGAAGACTTCACTCGAGCTGCGTGCGCAGGTGATTGGGACCCCGACATCTGTTGCTGCAGCTTGCTCAACCTGCGTGCGGGTACTCCACCGCGTCGTTGCTCTCGGCCACCCCTTTCCTTGGTCAATGTGACCTCCGGTGTGACGCGTTTGTCACACTGCATGTTCAATACATGGCGTCTTTCATTGTGGGTAGCGAAACTTGGCCGCAAAACCAGCGACTGTGTCCAGTGTGCACAGACTGGCTTAGCCATCGTAGATTGATGGCTACGCTCTGAACCGAACCAGCGGGGTCCATGCTGCGAACCGCAGCACAGTCGCAGTTGATGTTGGTCGTGATGATCCCCCGGTCGTGTCCCCTGCGAAGTGATGCAGGAGTCGAGTGCCAGTCACAGTCAGCTGGAGTGGGCAGCGGCTGCCTCATTCCGTGTTCAGTGGCCTGAGTCAGGGCCTGGTCCGACTTAGTCTAGTACTAGTCATGACTAGTACTACTAGTCACTAGTCATGACTAGTGACAAGTCGAACAGTTCCCGGAGCCGTTCCGAACGTGCACTCTGAACCTGTGAGAGACCAATCAAGCCGAAAGTGCAAGCCGAAAGCAAACGACGAAGCGAAGTACAAATACAGACGACTGCCGCACATTTCTGCACGTTTTGCTTTCCCCTCGAGCTTGCAGCGCCGCGGCGCCGCGCGCCTGCATACTGCGAGACCTTCTCCTTCGCTGCGAGCAGCGGCTGACCGGAACGCAGCTGACGACCTCAGAGGTCTGACGCGTGGATCGTGTTGATATCGGGTGTCCTCGTTGCGACCGGGTCCTGACGTGGTCGGGGCTCGTAGATGTCTGCTTGTGCTGGTAGAGCATGCAGAAGTTGGCAGCAAAGGGAAATGAATACGGCACGGCGGACATCAGCAGTGACGGGGGGCGGTGCCCAGGACCGCAATGGCCGTTGGCAGCCAGCGCGGCGTCATGCGACGGCGCATTGCTCGAGGTAGACGGCCGACTTCACCGTTATACGCGCATCCTGCGATGTGGCGCATACAATGAGGCATGATCCTCCCCGGAGTGCTCGTGCACAGCAGAGAGCCTGCAAATGCACCTTTCGGCCCTCTGTTGCAATGTATTGCAACGCGCAGGAGCCGCTATTGGTCGGCGACCATATCGACGAAAGCGGTGTTACAATCGCCGCACCAGAAAATCTGGACAAATTCTTCCAGCGGCTCTACAGGTCCGTGAACACGGAGGAGGTTGACGCCTCGTGTGCTGGGACCGCGCACGACCCGCTCACCGAAACGCGACGCGTGCACACTGCGTCTCTCTCTGATCGCGCCGGACGACGCCCTTGCCGGCTGACTTCACAGCATCGATAGCTTTTCTGTTATCTGTTTCCAAATGAATGTTGCAGTTACTGGCGAGAGCAGGGGCTGCTGCTGCTCTTCGTTTCGCGGGCGACCGCGTGCCTCGCTTTCCTCTTCTATATTTTCCTAGCAGGCGCGCTGCTGCTCTACGTGGATTGGGCGGCGCTCTCCAGCACTGCAATCATCAAAGAGCACGAAGATATCTCAAAAGTTGTCTTCGCACCGCCGGGGCAGCACCACTCGCCGGCGTACATAGCGGCATGCTTCGTGTACTTGGCTCTGACATGCGGGCTTCTAGGATGGCGGACCGTGGATGCCGTGACAGACGTACGCGGAGCCATGGAAGTTCGGCGGCTTTTGCTGTCACCTCTTGGCATCGAAGACCGCGAGGTGAGGTCAATCGCGTGGACCCAGCTCGTGAGACGGATACTTGCAGGACAGGTGCGCGTCAACCTCGTCAATCGCACAACGTTAGATCCGTTGTTCGTGGAGCCCTCACTTCCAGGCTATACCTCTGACGCCGTCACCGGGAACAAACGTCTCGTGCAGGGTGTGGTGCGCCTGTGCCTTGCGCGTGATCTGACGGCGTTGGACGTCGTACAGGGCATGCTGCGCCACGAGAACTACTTGGTTGGTATGATCAACCTCGGCGTCCTGTCTCTGGCTCCGCCGCTTCCGTATCTTCGAAACAGGTTGGTTTACCGCGAAGACCACTGCGACGATTCGCTGCGTTGGGTCGCCGACGTCTGCGCGCATTACACAGCACGTTGATTTGAACGGTGAACCGTGCATATCTCCATGCAACGTGGTCTGCTGCGGGCGCAGGCCGATGATGACACAGACCATGGAATGGAATCTTCGGTGGTGTCTCCTTGGACCCATGTTCGACGAGCGTCTCCGCATCCGTCCAGAGTTTGCGCATAACCCGCAAGCCCTGCAGCGTTCCCTGCGTGTGGCCGCTGTCACCAACGCAGCGATGGCGCCTTTTTTGGCCGTCTTCCTCGTCACGCGCTTCGTCTTCCAGGTCCGCGACGCCGGTCCGGCCTCATCGCCCATTGCTCTTCCCGTGCCACATCGCGAGATGACACTCGCCGTCGCTGCGCAATCGTGAGGATACAACGGACGGTGCCCTCAAATGTGCTGCCTGCGACGCAGAACCTCGAGCGACTGTATCACCATCCCAGCTCCTTGGCCCGCCGGTCCTGGTCACCTGGTGCGTGGTGGGCGCTTCGCGAACTCAACGAGCTGCCGCACCAGCTGGATCACAGACTTGCCCGGACACAGAGAGCAGGGGAACGCTATTTGTCATGCTTTCGCGCGATTTCCGCGGTGCACTTTGCGCGGCTGTTCTCCTTCATCCTCGGCTCAGGAGCAGCAGCACTGCTTCTGATGGCGATGGTTGACGAAAATCTCCTCGAGCGTCCCCTGTGGGGACGCAATCTGGTCTGGTGGCTCGCATCCCTGGGCGTCGGTCTCGCCATTTGCAGGTCGGCGCTCCATAACCAAGTCTCACCACGGAACGCTTGCTGCCGCTTCGGCTTCCCTCTCACGCAGCTTCTCACCCATGTTCCCCACTCAGTTTGCTTCGCAGAGGCGCCATGGGGCCAGAAGAGCAGGTGGCCGCCGTCGACCCAGATCGGGCGCTCAGTGACATGGGTTGGTACTTGCGACACTTTCCCCGGCGATGGCATGGGCGAGCGCGGAACGAAGAGGTGATCGGCGAAGTTCGACGCATGCTACCCTTCACGATCGTTCTTCTCATCCAGGAGCTGTCTTCGCTGTTCACAAACCCACTTGTGCTCGGGCTGTCGTTGCCCAGGTGCTGCCCGGCGATCTGCGAGTTCGTGCGGAACTTCACCTGCTCGGACGACGCCCTCGGCGAAACGTGTAGTCTTGCGGCGTTCAACTTGGCTGCGCACGGCAACGCCCTCTTCGGCAGCCCCTCCCACGCACCTGAGGGTGCTCGAACGAACAACGGCAAACTCGAACGGAGCATCCTGACATTTGCCGCCACCTACCGCTTCTGGGTGCCTCCTCGAGCTGTACAGCAGATGCTGGCGACAGCAGGACGCGCAAGAGCCGGGCCTGACGATGTTTGGCGAGCCAACAAGAGCACATTGCCGGACACCCCGCCTGAAGGGCCGGGCGAGTTGCATCGCCCTGCCGGTTCGGGGTCATACGGGACGGTATCAGCGCATGACTGGTCGGTGTTCCTGCGCGCCGGCATGCTGCCAGCAACAGCGCCGGAAGACTGGAAGCATGCAGTGCAGGCTGAGCTGAGTGCGATGCTGTGCAACGTTGGAACCAACGCAATGTCAGATTCAATCACTCCGCTGGCAAGAAACATGTCCTTCGAAGGGCCGCAGGGCGTCGACGAGGAACACATCCTGGACGCCTCACACTCCATAATGAGCAAGTTTGTTAACGCGGCCATGAGTCGCGACCGCCCTGTCGACAGCTGGGGGAACTAGCCAAGCGGCTCCAGCAGCGGAGTGCGATGCTGAATTTCGCGGTGGGGGCTCGATGCGTCACCAGTGAGCGTCGGCGCACGTCTCCGGGCAAGAATCGTCGGCCATAAGAGTGCCTGATCCGGGAGGTTGAGCAGGTGGGCAAGGGACGGTAATGGCAGACTCGAGGTCGGCACCTGCAGCGCAGCTGTGCGTCAGGCGACGAGGCAGTCCTGACAACGGTGGACTGCCATGATGCGGCACGCAGCGCCACACACACACACACACGCGTCGTGGCTGGCGCGCATGTAACGCACCAAACCGTCTATCCGTCGCGCATGCGATCCTCCAGTGACCTGAGTTCACGTCGCGCCTCAGTGACGCCTGTCAGGAGACGATGCACTGATGTTTCAACATCAGAGTCGTTGTCGCGGATAACCGACGCATCTCGCGACTTCTTGCGCGCATCAACAGCGTGGTCATCGTGGATTTCGGGATGAGCTGGCGGCTGCCTGCCAGATCGTGCACGCTCCGAAACCTGCAGCAGGATTAACGGATGAGTGTCCTCTGCACATGCGCAAAATGTGACACCTGAAAGGACTCGCGCTGAATTACCGGGGCGAACTCTTCTACGATGCGCGAAACTCCGCGGTTTGACGGCGCGCGGGCAGAGCATGCTGTGTGGTCACCTCGCTCATGAACTCCCGCACGATGTCATCCCTCTCCGCGGCGATCCGCCCTGCTACGGCGAGCAGGTCGAAGGCAAGACCAAACACCCTATCCGCGGTCGTTCGCACGAGCGCCCCGCCCAATGCCCACACGTCGTCGTTCGCGACTGCGTGATCGTCTGGTACAGGCCCGTCACTGCGCTTTCGGCGAGCTGCAGCGGGCAAAGCCACTCGTCAGCCGGTCGCGCACCGCATGTTCTCTGCTCCGCAATCAAGCCGGCGCGCTGCGCGAGCCCGTGCGGACGACGGGCATTCCCGCTGGCGAAGCCGGCGCACCTTGCGCGTGGCTGCAGACGTAGCGCCGGACCCGAGCTCCGCGCCTGCGACAAGGACTGCTGCGGCACCCGCTTGACCCAGCTGTTCGGTGGCCAGATACGCAGGGGCTGGAACGAGACGTGCAGAGCGCGGCGCCCATCATTCGGTCCAAGCAGGCTGCCATGGGTGGGACGTTCGTCAAGTTGCATGCACTCATGTGGACTTGCGGACTGCTGCCGGCCCATCAAAGCGAGATGTGGGGTGATGATCACTGATCCCCCGGGGACCACCGGGTGGCACCCTGTACCGTACAGGGTGGTCTTATTAATACTGTGACACCACTGTCCCCGGACGCGGCAGAGAGAGCCTCGCCGCGGCCTGATATGTCGCCCGGAGTCATAGACAGCGCCATTCCTCCCGGCTGCGTGCACTCGCGCAAAAGCTCGACGCACAAGTCTGGCGCAGCCCCCAGATGAGTTCGACGTAGACAACTTGTCGCCGCACAGGCTTCGTCTAATTCATCGCCGCTTCACGAGGCCGCTCGAGGGCTCTGCCGCGGACAACTGCTAGGCTGGCGGGATGGTGCTGGAGAGCATTGGCCAGTCCGTGGCTCAGGCCCTCGCTGACTTGAGGTCGAAGCCGGAAGTGGACGAGGAGACGTTCAAAGGATGCATGAAGATCATCCAAGTCGCACTAATTCAGTCTGACGTGAACGTGAAAACAGTGAGTGGCGCACTGCTGCGCTTGTGCGGCACCATCTCTCCTCGCGTTCGCCCACCAGGCGCACCGCGGCGGCGTCGTTCCTCGCAGGTCAAGACATTGACCGACAATGTCCGCAAGGCCGTGTTCTCCGGGACCCAAAAGGGCGACAAACTCGCGGCCGTCGAGCGCGCTGTGTTCCGTGAGCTGGTCCGCATGATCGACACCACGGGTGGACAGTCACTGTGGGCCCCGAAGCGTGGCAGGCCGAATGTGGTGATGTTTGTTGGCCTCCAGGGTGCCGGGAAGACGACCACCATCATGAAGTACGCGCACCACTTCAAGCGAAAAGGCTTTAAGCCTGCCATGGTCTGTGCCGACACATTCCGTGCCGGTGCATTCGATCAGCTCAAGCAGAACGCTACGAAAATCGGTCTGCCGTTCTACGGGTCGTACACCCAGACCGACCCTGCAGTCATCGCACGCGAGGGCGTGCAGATTCTTCGCGACAAAGGCCGCGACCTCATCATCGTCGACACCTCAGGTCGCCACAAACAGTCTGGAGCGCTGTTCGAGGAGATGCGGCAGGTTGCGTCGAATGTGCAGCCGGATTTCACAATTTTCGTCATGGACGCCAGCATCGGTCAGGCTGCGCTTGAGCAAGCGAAAGCATTCAAGGAGGCTGTCGAGATCGGTGCCGTCATCATGACGAAACTGGACGGGCACGCGAAAGGCGGCGGTGCCCTCTCGGCCGTTGCCGCGACGAAGTCCCCTGTCCTCTTTGTCGGCACGGGAGAGCACGTCGACCAGTTCGAAGTGTTCGACCCAGAGAGCTTTGTGTCTCGGATGTTGAACAAGGGCGACGTCAAGGGACTGGTCAACAAGCTATCCGAGGTCCTGCCCGAGGACGGATCCGGGATGGAGATGGTGGAAGAGCTTCTTCAGGGGAGATTCACGATCCGTGCAATGCGGCAGCAGTTCCAGCAGGTGTTGAGCATGGGGCCGATGTCACAGGTCATGGAGATGATCCCGGGCCTCCAGGGTATGATGTCGGGCATGGACGATCGCGCTGGGTCTGCGAGGATCAAACGCTTCTTGGCCATCATGGACAGCATGGCAGAGAAAGAGTTGGACATGTCGGCAGATGACGCTAAGAAGTTCGAGCCGGCGCGGATGAAGCGGATCGCCTGGGGCGCGGGCGTCCCTGAGGCCGAGGTCTGCAGCTCCTGGTGTCAACGCCGTCGTGCCAACGGGATACCTCCAGCAGGCGTAGTGCCCCCCCCCCACCAGTTGAAAGATCCCCGCCTCATGCAGGTGGCGCTACTGCTGGAGCAGTTCAAAACCATGTCGCGAACCATGGAGAATCTGAAGGGGCTCAAGATGCCGAAGACCGCATCGTCGATGAACGCGAGGACCATGCAGCAAAACATGCGCCAGATGTCCCAGGCGCTCCCGCAAGGCGCGACACCGCACTCCACCCGCACGATTTGCAAGCCTGGATGCAACTGTCGCTGGCGCGTGGACTTCATGGCCTGGTGAGCGCCCGAAAGGCACATACACGTCAATGTGTCGCAGGGCTCATGCAAATGGTCGGTGGTGAGAGCGGGCTGGCGAACATGATGTCCAAGATCGGAGGCGCCTTGCCCGGCCTAGGAGGCGGCTCTGCTGGCGGCCCGGACTCGGCTGCGCTGGCCAACATGATGAGTGCCATGGGTGGAGCGGGTCGAGGGCCGGGACGAGGTCGCGGTCGAGGTACGCCCGGGCGAGGCGGTTCGGGCAGAACGCCAGATATGATGTCCCTGATGAAGAGTATGGGGATGGGCTAGTCACAGCACGCCTGAATCACAGCAACGTCTGACCGTTTGAGAGTGTGCGGTACCGTCCGTCCTTGCCTTCCGGCCTCGAACATCACGCCCTGAGAAGTAGACTGCGGGCCGCCTTCACCTCGAGGTCTCGAAGGCCCCTGCGTCGAGAAGTAGGTTTGCAGGTCAGCAGTGGGTTTGTTGGACCATCAACATTTTCGCTCCACTTGCGGCCTCGTGTGCGCACTCCACGCTGCTACAGGTTGGCCACTCCGTGGGCTCTTCGGTGTGACACTGGTGAACGCTTCTGTTTGCAGTTGTGCTAGTGCGCATCAACGTGCAGCGAGTTTGATGGTGTGATCCTAATAGACCGGGTCGCGCGTGCGGCAGGTGCCGTCGTCGTGGTGTGGGGCCGCCCCGGGCGACGCGGCACGCGTACATCGTGAGCTGGGCGCGCAACCCCCCAACTTGTCTTCCCGTGGGGACCGCGAGCCCTCCCCCTGGGGAGAGCTGAGTGTCCCAGGGACTCCCCGGGCCCTGCCTGGGCCTGGCCGCCGGGCTGGGGATGTAATTTCGCCAGTGGCGACGCAGCGTGGCCAATGGCCGCCATCGCACTCCTGACGACCGGCTTCTTCTCCGCGTCGAGTCAGTCCGCACGCGAGCGCGCCCCAACAGCGTGCTGAGGACTGTGGCAGCCTGTTGATGCACGGCGCGCGGATGTCGCTGCGACGCCTGTCGAGGGGCGACGTAGTCACCTCATTGGTCACATGTGCCTCCCTTGCGCCGCACGAATCGGCCTTTGCGAGTGCTCGCGGCATCGCCTGGACTGCAGTGCCGTGCAGCAAGCCAAGGGAGACCCTGCCGACCCCACCCACTCCTGCAGATGTAGGCTCCTGACACCGGATGCAGTGCGCGATGCTTACACCGTGAATCGTGTGCAAGTGGCATCACGACGTGCTCGAACTCGTTGCTTGTTCGCCCCTCCCAAGCAGAGGGCATCACTGTGTTTGCGCTGCTGGTTGGGCGATCCGGGCCGCTGACGCACGCCTCCCGCGCAACTCAGGTATGCATCCATGAACGACCCGCAGGTTGAACATGGTCTTCCTGCGTACGACACTCCGGATGTGCCTGTAGTGGCTGACATTGTTCACAAGCGCGGTCAGGACGTGCTGAACGACCCGCTTTTCAATCGTGGCACCGCGTTTTTGCCATGCGAGCGCGAGCGCCTGGGTCTGCGGGGGCTGCTGCCTCCGAAGCAAAGTTCTTTAGACTCCCAGGTGAGTGTTGTTCCCTTCGGATTGTTTCTCGCCGCCGTTGCGTGACGTGCTGCTCGCTGTGTGCAGCCTTCCGCTGCTGGGGGTATCCAGACCGATCGCGCCGGACACTGCTGGACGAATCCGAGCGTCGTGACCGGATCCAAGTGTGCGCAACCCGTGCAGGTTGCGCGCTTCCTCGAACTTTACCACCACGGTGCTGAGAAGAAGGCGCCCCCGCCCGATGCATCCATCACCGTGCAAGCCATCCGCAAGTGGCTCACGCTGTCATCGCTGCAGGACAGGTGCACTCAGCGGCAGCGACAACAGTGTGTGGTGTGGTTGTTGCGTCCTGCCTTGCATTGCGCCTCAAATGCTACCCTGACACGCACGGGCGCGACGACACTGCCCGACGCAGGAACGAGACGCTCTTCTACCGGGTGCTGATCGACCGCTTTGAGGAGATGGCACCCATCGTGTACACGCCGACAGTTGGATGGGCATGCATCAACTACTCGACCCTGTACCGCCGTCCGCGTGGGATGTTCTTCACCGCGAGGGATCGCGGGCAGATGGCGTCCATGCTGTTCAACTGGCAGCAGATGGACGTGGATGCTATCGTGGTCACCGACGGGTCCCGCATCCTGGGCCTGGGCGACCTGGGCGTCAACGGCTTGGGAATCCCCATCGGTGCGCACGACGCGGATGTTCTAGTACGCCGACGGACAGGAGGCTGCAGCGTCATAATTCTGGCCGCCCCTCGGCTCCCCTCGCAGGAAAACTGGATCTGTATGTCGCGGCGGCGGGATTCCACCCCCATCGTGTGCTGCCATGCGTCATCGACGTCGGGACGGACAACGAGTCTTTGTTGGCCGACCCGGCGTACATGGGGTTGCACCAGCGCCGTCTGAAGGGCCCCGAATATCTCGAAGTCGTGGACGAGTTTGTGCGGGCCGTGACCAGCCGGTGGCCTCGTGCAGTGCTGCAGTTTGAAGATTTCTCCACCGACGTGGCCAGCATGCTGCTGGAGCGCTACAGGAGCCACCACCTCGTTTTCAACGACGACATCCAGGTGGGGGCTCTTGCTAAGACGCAGCGGAAATTGCACTGTCGCTGTGGCCAGGGGTAGAATACGCCGTGTCACTGCCGCAGATCAAGCGTGCGCGATGGGTGCTTGCAGGGCACAGCAGCGACTGCGTTGGCGGGGATTTACGGCGGCCTACGCGTCCTGGACCAGCCGGCGTCCGACATCGTGAATCAGCGCATCGTGTGCGCTGGCGCAGGAAGTGCGGGAATGGGCGTGCTGAACATGGTGGTGCAGGCGATGATGCGCCATGGCATGTCCGAAGAGGACGCTCGGCGCAACATCTGGGTGCTGGACAAGGACGGCCTGGTCACCGTCGACCGAGGCGGGGTCGCCCCGCACGTGCGCGGGTTTGCCAGGAGGGAGCCGGGGATTGGTGGCATGAACCTGCTGGACACAGTGAGGATGGCGAAACCGACGATGCTCTTGGGGCTCACTGGTGCGGGTCGAGTCTTCACTCAGCAAGTGCTTGCTGCGGCTGCGGAGGGTTGTGCGAGCCCACTGGTGTTTCCCATGAGCAATCCAACGTCGAAGATGGAGTGCACCGCGGAGGAGGCAGCGGCCGCGACGCAGGGCCGCGCGATTTTCGCTTCGGGCAGCCCGCAGGACGATGTCGAATACGGAGGGCGTAGAATCGCGTCGTCACAGGCGAACAACATGGTAATCTTCCCTGGGCTCGCTCTGGGTGCTCACCTCGCGGGGGCGAAACTGGTCACGGACGACATGATCATGGCAGCTGCCGAGGCGGTGCCGAACTTGATCCCAACGGACGTCCTGCAGCGCGGCGGCGTGTACCCTCATGTGCGCAACATCCGGTGAGATCCTCTTCGTTGGACCGATGTCGCAGCTGCACACGCGACCTTGCAGCAGTCGTGCCATCCACTTGATCAAAAAACCTATCACGTGCGAACGTTTACAACGCGGTGCGGTCACCACACTGCAGAGAGATCTCAATGCATGTGGCGCTCGCGGTGGTCAAGCAGGCCGCGGAAGAGGGGCTTGTCGAGAACAGCAAGCTCCTACGGAAGATCGGAATGGGCGATGCGGCAGCGCTGGCGTATATCAAGCGCTCCATGTACCACCCGTCTTACAACAATATCGTTTCGCTGCCCGCAGGCATCATGGAATAGCTGAGCCTGCACGTGTGAGTGACAAGCGATGCGGTCGTCCCGACTCGTAGTATGACGAACTTTTCATCTCGCTTGTTTGCCCCAGGTTGCCTCGGAGTCGGGCTGATTCAGCCCTTGGCATCCATCATCGCCTCCGCTTCTGAGCAATCACGTCGCGGCGCGACGTGACGATGAAGAAATCCGAGCGATACCTCGTACGATTTCGCGTCCGGCCACCACGGGCGAGTTTCCCCCTGCGACGAACATCGGCGCCAGCCGAACGATGCTGGACTGATTGATGCTGAGGTGCGTTTGGCATCTCAGGGGGCGAGGAGCATCGCAAAAGCAGCGCACGTACCAAGGAGTTTTTGGAGGTCCTCCAGTGCCAGTTTTGCCTTCTCCGCCGCCGTGGGGATGGTCGACAGGGTTCGTTGCCACGCCGCGCACACCACTGCGCCATCCTCGCCAGCGTTTTGCACCTGCTTTCCCAAGCTTTTGTCGCGCCCAAACGCTGTTCCCGACCGAGCCCAGAGTGGCATAACACTTCGAAAGCACCCGCCGTACCTCGCCCGAGGGCATCCTGCAAGTGCTCGTGGCGCAAGTCTCGAGATGTGCCGCTGGCATGTAAGATCTCGGTGGCGCGGGGCGCTCAGTGTCAGAGAAGAACGCTCACTTGATCAGAGAGTACTCCTTACTGCCTGCCGCGTCGCGCCCAATGATCGAACCCTGGCTGCCAGCGGACCTGATGTACTGGGCACCCCGTCCAGGCGTAACTTCGAGGTTGTGTATTGTTGATCCTACTGGCAAGCACGACAAAGGCGCTGCATTACCAGGACGTATCGGAACTCCCTCGTCAGACGCCAGAACCGTGTCCCCTTGCCCAATGGAGGTGGGAGCGAGCATGTAAGCCAGCACGACATGCTTGTGCGCAGACTCCTGCCCCGTAGCAGTGCTGGGCTCCCCGTGCGACCCGCTCGCCAGCCGCGCGTCAATAGATGCGCTCAGCGAAGCGATGCCCGCCTCTTCCTTTGTTGGGGCGCTCTGCACAGCAAGGGTGCCCGGAACGATTTGTTGGCAGCGCATTTGCTCTCCCCGACAACGTCAGCAGCGCCCCCTCACATGTATCCTGGCATCACGGGAGCGCCGACTGCGGCATGGCAGCACTGCAGGCCCACGATCTGCACGCGCATGCTGCAGGGACTCACTTGAAGTTCTTCCTTGTTCAGAGGGCGCTGCGCGAACGCGACAGACATGCGGGAAGCCTTCCCGAGGTCATGACCGTGCGGAAGCAGGTACTTGACCAGGGCGATGTGGGCCGACCGCGTCGGGTCGTACTCCAGTCTTTGCACGACTCCGGGCACCCCTCGCATGCAACGTCGCCAATCCAGGATGCGCGCCCTGCGCTTATGCCCCCCTCCTCGATGCCGCACAGTGATGCGGCCTTGGTTGTTTCGTCCGCCCTGGCGCACAAGTGCCCGAGTCAGGGCTCGGACTGGGCCGCCTGGATGCAGGTGGCGCCTGTCTATTGTGACCCTGTGCCGCAGGCCTGGCGTGAGGGGCCGGTAATGCTTCAAGCCGCTCCGAAAAGCAACAAACGGCTTCCTCCGCGATTTCAGCTTTACCATCTTTGCGTGTTTCTTCGCACGTGCTTTCGCGCTGATGTGTCTGCAGTCTGCGCTCATGTTGCACGGGGGACTGCAGCGTGAACAAGACGCGGAGACGACGCTCACTGTCTCATCGCAGTGTGAAGGATGGTCGGGCGCGCAGGCCAACGATCGCACTCACCCGCTGCTCTGTCGGCGCGCAGCCACAACAAGCTGTGCTTCTGTGAGGACGTGGATGTGCGCGCCGAAAGGTTGAAGACCGTGCCTGCGGCAGGCGCGCAGATCGCTTGACGATCATGGTGTCGCACGGTTCCTCGCAGATGCGCAGGTGGCCGAACGCATCCAGCTCGCGCCCATGGAAGGTTTCGCGGGTCCACCCAATGGTCGACGAAGACACCGCGCGATAGAACTGAACTCGCGGGCGGCTCTGACACCTGCCTGGCCAACCGGCAGAAGATCGTGCATGCACGTCTGTGCAAGGATGCCATGGCCGCTTCTCAGAAGCGTTGCGCCGAACGCTGCGGAGGGCCCAGGTGCAGCGCGGTGCTCCGCATGGGACGTCACCAGCACAGGCGCATACGCTACTACACTGGACAGCCCAACAGTGGCGCACGGCTTGCGTGTCCACCAATCATAGCCACATTCGCTTCAAGGTAGTACGGACGTCGCCGGGCGGTGGGGACGCCGGACTGGGCCAAACAACACTTCCCCCCCCGCCGTTCGTCCCGCTGACGGACAGGGCGACGCATCCGCGCTGTGAACCGTGGTCCTCATGTCCGAGAGACGGGCCGGGGCGGAAAAACGAGTCGCGGCAAGCGCTCTGCGTGGCGCGGCGGGGTGGCTCGACTGCTGGTTCACTGAAGAAGGGCCTGGCTCGAGTGAGTGCTGCTTCCTGCCTTCTCGAGTGCCTGGCGCATCGCGTGATCGCAGTTTTGCGACCCCTCGCGCACATCACACGAACGATTCTGTACTCAACATGTCAACCCGCGTGGTAATCCTGTTCCCGACCGCAGGTGTGTGCCGCAGCTGCCATTTTCAGGCTGGTAATCCCTGGAATCTCGCCTCGTGGCTTCTCGTGCGCCTGGGCGGGCACACGGTCACGGATTACCGCCGCGGTCTGAAACTTCAGATCATGTGGGACCGTTCACAGCGATTGACTTCGCTCCGCGCCCGGAACTTGCAGTGCGCCGAGCCAAAACGGCGCTGTTTTGCCATCTCTGAGTGAAATGCAGCTCACAGTCGCCTCGCTGCGTCAGAACGGCCCATAAACGGCAACTTCGATCATCAATCTCGCAAGAGTTGGAAAGGATGATCACGCTGGGGAGCAGTGGACGGCGCAAAAGCGCTCATTGCGAGCGAAAAGCACCGTCTGGGGATGAGGGACGTGCCCGCATTCGCATCCATGGTGACTTTCGCGCCGCGTTTTCGGTTGGTGGCGGGACATGGGGATATAGCAGGCGCGCGCTCCCGCCTGTCGACATCCGTGGCTGAAATCGGGCCAGGAAGTGGTCTCAGCGGGGCGCGAAGCGAGGAGGTTGCGGCATATTAGGGGCAATTCAAGCGTGCGATGATCGCGGAAAATGGCGCACGCGTCGACTGATACGAGATATTGGCATTTGCTCGTCATTCACCGCTGAGCAGGGTGACCGCAGCCTACATGGTCGGGTCGCGGATCCGTCGCAAAAAATGCGGCGAACCGTTGTGTGGCTCAGAATGCGCCCTGGTGGGTGCATGCAAGGGCTGGTGCGGCAAATCCCCGATCCCCCGTGCCCCTCCGGGGCCCGATAGGGAGTCCCAGGGCGGTGACCTAACTCAGCCCTCCCCTTTGTGTGGGGCCTATCGACGGTTTGAGGGGTGCTGTGCGGCTTTGCTGGGCCGTGGGCGCGAAGCTAGGTGCAGTTCAGCCCAGGTAGCTGTCGTCTCGATTGCGCGGGGCAACAGAAGTGCCGCCACCGCCCAACAACTGGGAGGTGGCAAGAGTGGGCATCCCGGGTCCAAACGCCCGCGGGCGATCTCGAAGCACGGACCGGCACCCTGCGGGCCAGAATGACTTTTGTCGATGTGCTCACGAAAGCGATCCGAAGTCCTCAGGACATCTCGACGAAAGGCGGGGCAGCACACCTGGCCCTCGCCGTCCACTGTAAGCGCCCCAATGCCGGCTGCTGCCAGGGACAGCAGATGCCCTTATGCGGGTTGGCCGTAAGCTATAAGTGCGACGCGACTGTCAGTGCCTCTCAGCCACAAACCGCACGGGGCACTGAACCGCGCAGCATGTGCTGCCTGCGCGCCTTCGCTCAACACTCGACGGAGGCGAAGCGCGTCCCCGTCCGGTCCACTGCCGACGACCATGTGCTGATGGCGAAAGTTCACCTCGAGACGTTCGTCCCATTGCACCACCTACGCCACGCTCAGCCCTCTTTTGTGAGCGCAGTTTTGAAAACCTCAGAGCGCGCGGGCAATATGATTGTCCATTGATAGGCGCGATGGACATCCTTGCACAACTGCACTCGAACTGGAGATGCACTCACACGCGCCGCGCATGACCTCGCTGCGACTCCGCAGGTACCATGGTGCTGAACGACTACCAGACGATCGACCGCGAGGGCCGCTTGATGGGTCTCGGGAAATTCAGCCCTCCGCAAGACTGGGACACCGGGCGCAACAGAACGTGGCACTTCTCCTACCAGCGTGTCGGCTTTGCCAACAAGGTCCACGTGTTTTGCTCGTGCAACCCGGATGGCAAGTTCCTCGTGCAAGCGACGGAGGAGGGTCGAGAGCATGCCGCAGCGCAGGATCCACCTCCGGGCGAGAGGCAGTACGCGGTGCGCTGCTTCTGTGTCTCATATCGTCGCAGAATCGTTGTTGCACAGCACTGACGCTGCTGGCCCCAAGCCGCCGTCTGGAGCACCGAGCCGCTTCATCCGTTGCGTGCTGGCGATGTTGCAGGCACAGCCGACATCGGTGGGTGTCCACCGCGTGGGCCTGCAGCTGCAGAACTACGTGGTTGACCCCAAGGCCTCAGACTGGGAGGAGCTGTTTGGCAACGAAGGTCACTTCAGTGACTTCATGAGCCAGTACATTATTTCCGCCCTGGAGGCCGACGCCGTGCGTGTCGACCCTCCCAAGGGTGGCGGCACGCGTTCGTGGGCGTACCGCGGCAGCGTGCCTGATTCGCCCCCGTGGCTCCTGTACCTCGTACTCACCGGGGCGGGCGCTGGTGGCTGCTACTGGCTCTACCAGGCCTTGACGGGCTCGAACGAGAAGGGGGAGACGTGACCATCTGCCAGTGAGGTGCTGTGGCACCGGTCGGAGGCATCCAAGTGTGTAAACATCTGTCCAGGTTGGACGTGGCACGTGCCCGCACACCAAAAACGCTTCGCATCGGCCCCTTCGCACACGGGCGCGCGGCATGCGCGTCTCATACGTCGGCCGCGGCGAAAGTGCGAGATCGGCGTCCCACCACGTGACTTTCGCCCGCATGCCGTTCCGCTGGGCGTGACATGTGCTGCTGCGCTCTTGCGTTGGCGGAAGCGCGAGTCGCTCGAACTTCCTGGACGTGAGACGCAGCGACTGCCGACCAGCACACTGGCAGTGACTGTGCGGCCCGCAGCGGGCGCCCGGGCCCGCGGGCGCCGTAGCCAGACCCTGGGGGGGGCGGGGTTTCAAGTCCTGACCCAAGGCACAAATCGAAGCCGCTCGTGGTCACTTTGATGGAGCGAGCCCGTCGCTGCACGAAGCATACTGTCACCGTCTTTGCGTGTCGTCGCCTCTTTCGTACATCCCTTCAGCTGGTCGCTTTACGGCCAGGTGCCAGGAAGAAAGCGCAGCACCATGACCGAGCTCGTCGGGGGCGCGCCCTCCGTGCTCGCAGCCAATGCGACGCAAGACAAGGGCGACATGGCCCGTATGGGGTCCTTCATCGGTGAGTGCAGGCGCCACCGCACGTGTGGGCGCCCTGAGGCATGGGGCCGCGGGCTCCCAAGCCGGCGTGAGCAGGTCGTCTGACGCTGCGCCGTCCAATACGTTGTTCTTCCAGTCGAATGCAATATTGAATATTGAAGAGCCCGCGTGGAGAACCCGCCGCGGGGCGCTGTCGGTGTCCATGGGCTCGCCTCGTGCAGCAGTGGCGCGAAACGCTGTTTTGCCCGGCCTCTGCAGGTGCCATGGCCATTGCGGACCTGGTCAAGTCAACTCTCGGGCCGAAAGGCATGGACAAGATCCTGCAGTCCATGACGAATGGCTCGGTGCGTCGGCGGCCCCGCAAGCACTATGGCTGCCAAGCTTTTTTTGGCCGCCGCGCGGGCGCGAGAAGGCGGCCGCAAATTCGGACCCTGCCCCGCTTGGACGGATTGTATCGCAGTGCCCGATGCCACATCGTCGAATTGCCCCCGGCAAAGCCGCGGGCGCTGAACAGGCCATGTTGGTTGCGTCGCAGGTTTCCGTCACTAACGACGGCGCAACGATCCTGAAGAGCGTCTACGTCGACAATCCGGCCGCCAAAATCATGGTGGATATCTCTCGGACGCAGGACGACGAGGTGCGTGGCTTGGCCGGGCACGGCCCGCTCTGGCCAGGATGCTAGGGCATGCAGCGCTCAGCACTTCTCGAACAGCCCCCTCCTGGCCCGTTTCGCCGCAGGTCGGAGACGGCACGACCTCGGTTGTGGTGCTCGCTGGCGAGCTGTTGAAGCAGGCGGAGGCTCTCTGCAATCAGAAGATCCACCCCATGACCATCATCGGCGGGTTTCGAGATGCCTGCTCTGTCGGCTTGAAGCACTACACGGACAAGGCCATGGACAATGGGCGCGATGACGCTGCCCTGCGCAAGGACCTCATCAACATCGCTCGCACGACGTTGTCGTCGAAGATTCTAACGCAGGTGCGCCAGTTCAGGTGTCAACACACCGGCTCCTGAACGACGGCCGGCCTGGACACCTCCGCGACGATTCTCGCATGTACTGTTGTCGCACAGGATAAGGATCATTTCGCGGAGCTCGCGGTGGACGCCATCTGCCGTCTGAAAGGCTCGGGGGACCTCAACATGATTCACATCATTAAGAAGCCAGGGGGTGGTCTTCGAGACTCTTTTCTTGACGAGGGCTTCATCATGGACAAGCACCCTGGGGTGGGCCAGCCGAAGCGGTGCGTCGTCCGAGCGTCGCGCGAGATGCAGGGCTGTGCAAGGGCGAGATCCCTGCTATGCCAGCAAGTCTAAGCCGGGTGCTGGCGGCTGTCTTTCCGTGCAGGGTACAGGATGCGCGCATTCTCGTAGCCAACACGGCGATGGATACGGACAAGGTCAAGATCTATGGTGCGAAGGTGCGCGTGAGCGACATGATGAAGGTGGCCGAAATCGAGCAGGCAGAGAAGAACAAGATGAAGGAGAAGTGCGAGCAGATCCTGGCTTACGGCTGCAACTGCTTCGTCAACCGGCAGCTCATCTACAACTACCCCGAGCAACTGTTCGCGGACGCTGGAGTTCAGTCCGTGGGTGAGGCGTGCGGCCCAGCCCATTGCGCAGCCTGCCAGCCGGCTCCGGGTGCACAGTCTCACGCCGCACGGTGGATCACCATATCTTCTTGCAGAGCACGCGGACTTCGACGGCATCGAGCGCTTGGCCCTGGTGACGGGCGCCGAGGTCGTCTCGACGTTCACCGAACCCGATCCCGGCGTCCTCGGCAAGTGCGACGTGATCGAGGAGATCATGATTGGCGAAGACCGCCTCCTCCACTTCAGTGGCGTGCAGAAGGGCGAAGCTTGCACAATCGTTCTGCGCGGCGCCTCGATGCATGTGCTTGATGAGGCCGAGAGGTCCTTGCATGACGCACTGTGCGTCTTGCAGCAGACCGTCAAGGATACGCGGTGCACTCCCGGAGGTGGCTGGCCCGAAATGCAAATGGCAAAGGCCATCGACGAGGCAGCTGCCGTCACCCCCGGAAAGCGCTCGATGGCTATGGAGGCGTTTGCACGGGCACTGCGGCAGATCCCGGCGATCATCTGCGACAACGCCGGCATGGACAGCGCGCAGGTTGTGTCGGAGCTGCGCGCGGCCCATGCCGCCGAGCTGAACTGCCACGAGGGCGTCGACGTTGTTCGCGGCGAGGTAGGAGACATGACTCAGCTGGGCGTGTACGAGTCGTTTAGGGTCAAGTCCCAGGTGCTGCTGTCCGCCACCGAGGCCGCGGAGATGATTCTACGCGTCGACGACATCGTGCGCGCCGCGCCGCGGCAGCGCGGCGAGGAGTGAAATGCGAACTTCGTACTGGGCCGGGCGCCACATGCCATGCATCGCACGGTCGCATGGCGAACGCGTGCGTCGGGGACGTACCGCGACCTGAAAGCGGGGACTGAGAGGAACAGAAACAGCGTGCTAGAGAGCGTGCTGTGAGGTGTCCTACGCACAACACGTCGAGCGGGCCCGGGGGGTTCGCATCCCACAAAGTGTACATGACTGCCTGGATGTCTGATTCGCGGATTGACCGGCTGCGGGCGGGTGAAGTTTGTGTGAGGTGTCGCACAGTGGCCTTGCCGTTCTCTGCTGGCCCAGGTACAACGCGTCGTTGCTCTCGGCCGCCCCTTTCCCTGGTCAATGTGACCTCCGTTGTGACACGTTTGTTCAATGCAACAGCACGGACTTCTGCGGCACCTTCCTCATGCAGTTCGTTCGAGCATGGCGCCGTTCACACAATAGCGGCCCGAATAGCGGGTGACGTGAGGGGCTGTCACCTGACATGCGTGATGTCTTGCGTATGTCTTGCCTGGGCAGGGTCGCCGGCCGACGACATCGGGACGCGTGGTGGGGCTTGCCGACGAGTACCCGCACGCCCGCGGGACTCGTCACTCATCGAAGACTCCACTCGAGCTGCGTGCGCAGGTGCTGGGACCCCGACACCTGTTGCTGCAGCTTGCTCATCTTGCGTGCGGGTACTCCACCGCGTCGTTGCTCTCGGCCACCCCTTTCCTGGTTAACGTGACCTCCGGTGTGACACGTTTGTCACACTGCATGTTCAATACAATACAATGAACAATGGCTTGTCATGTTGAACCTCTTCCGGTACACACGCCGATACATGGACGACAATGCCTCGATCGGCAACCCGTTCTACGCGTACTTCGCGTCCTCCCCCCGCCCCCCTCTCCCGCCCACTACATCGTACCTAGCAGCCCACCTCCCGCAACTCCATAACATTTATTCCCCCGCTCTCACCCTGGAGATCGACCCCCCACGCCCCTTCCTGTACGGCATCACGTTCCTCGACCTCCGCATCCGCCCGCATCCGCATCACCCGGGCTTCCTCCTCGTGTCGCACTACGACAAACGCGCTGCTTTCCCACACTTGCCCCTCCTGCACTATCCCCACCCCTCCAGCGCGCTGTTGCGACACCACCTTTACAACGTCGTGCACACGGAACACATTCGTGTTGCATCTGAGGTGACTGACCGGGACAGTTACGTCGCTAAGATGGCGTACATGCTCCGTTACATGCGCACGGAGCGTGGCTACGACGCGGCAAAGATGTTCGCCGTGCTACACGCAGCCATTTTCGCCTATCCGGCCCCCCATTTCGCTCCGTGCACTCCTCAAGGCCTGGTTGACCTCGTCCGTACCGCCGTGACGGATCTCGACCGTCGGAACGTGCCGTGCAACCATCCTTTCCCACCCCTGTCCAATGCTCCCCCTTCGTATTTGCTGCCCTCCCTAGCTGCGTGGCTCGCAACACCCGATAACCCGCCTGCTCACCAGTGATACTCGCTATGCCGTGCGCGTATTCCGCGGCGTCTCGCTCGCCTGGACTGTGCTGTCCTGCTTGGTCAAGCGTTGTGCCGAACGTTTCCCACCGTAGCGACCACGCGCATGACCGGTGCCCAACTGGCCTGACCGCGATACCGGCTCGCCAGGAATGCGGGCGACGGCCTCGCATGGGGTAGGCGGGATATGGACCCGTACCGAAAGTGCTACGCGCCCCCATGCGCCAGTAATGGTCCGCGCTTGTTCTCTCCGAGGCGTACTCCACCCAGCCCGACAATCCCACGAAGTTCGTGAAGGCCTGCTGCGGCCGTGCCCCTACGGCGGTGCGGTGGCAGCGTGGGTACACACCCCCGGGGGGACTGGCACACTGACTCATGTCGGTTGGACTCTGGACGTGCTGCTGGACCGAGGCACAAAGGCCCGTCGTCACCTGGGGTCGTTCAGAGACTCACGCAGCACGCTGTGCGCTTCCTGAACGATCCCCGCATTGTCTCACCGTTGTGCATGACTGCTCACATTGTCTACCCTGTCTGCTGTGTGAGTCTCGCCTGCCGTACCATTTCGGTCGCTCAAGCGTCCTCGCGGTGAGGGTGCTTGTAGGTCAGCGAAGAACTACCTTGCTCATCTTGTACACCATCACCTTGACGCGCTTGCTGCCCATTTCAGCAGGATTTGAACTCGCCGATTCCGCCTTGACCAGGGCGAGAGCAAGCCCCACCGCGCGTGCGATCTCGAAGCAGGCAAGTGCACAGCCAGCAGAAAAGGCAACAGCGTCGCGCTGCGAGGTGTCGATTGTCGCACGGTACTCCACCGCGTCGTTGCTCTCGGCCACCCCTTTCCCTGGTCATTGTGACCTCCGAGGTCAAGCCGGAGTCCGGCTTGGCACGTTTGTCAGACTGATTATCCTTTACACCACAGGTGCCCGTTTCAAGCAGCAGCCGCGTTACCAACAGCCTGGTCCCACGCCTCGAACACAGTGAGCCCAGCTGCGGACTCGTGAGCGTAGGTTTGGATCGCGTCGATCGCTTTCGCCCACCCGCCCTTCACCATCACCGCCCCTGCTCGCAGTCCGGGAAAGTGGTTCCACACTGCAGACGTCTCCAGCAAGACTGGGACCGCCTTGGCTGCAACAGCCTGCCACATCATCTCCTGGCCATCGAAACTATCATCTACAACGACAAATTTCGCTCGCCGCAGGATGGACCATCGCGGCCAGAAGCCCAGATATCTTGTGTCGACAACAGCTGCCCTTGAGCCGAGGCCTTCGGCGGCCCGCGCCAGCTCGCCGTCCAGCTGCTGCCCAGGATGCAGAACGACAATGTCCATGTCACGGCTCGCTGCAAGTGCTTGCGGGCACATCTCGACGAATACTTCCAGCTCAGGCACGAAGCCATGTTCTGGCAGGCCCACAGGCAAGGCCTTCGCTTTGGTCGCGCATTTGTCGACAGCGAGCGGCCAACCAGGTCCGGTGAAGGTCATGAACCACGCCTTGACGTTCCTTCTTTCGCATGCAGCCTCGAGGGCTTCGCGTGCTGTGAATGGAGCCAAATGTCCATCGTTCCACACCACGCTCACCAGCACCAGCTGCGAAGCCTCTGTGCGCGACAGCACCTCTGAAACGAAGCTGTCCACGCCTTGATTCAGACAGATGACACTTCCGTCGGTCAGGTCTGTCGGTCCCCAACCGAAGGTATGATCCAGTTCTGCGCCACCGAATGTAAAGTCGCAGATTGATTCCATCGCGGCATTCGTTGCTAGCGTGGACCATCGACCGATCCAGCCAAGACCCGAGCGTTGATCCCCTGGCATCGATCGGCATTCGGGCCACTTGCGAGACGTGTCGAGGCCAAGGGACGGAGCAACTTGAACAATGTTGAGCAGGTCCTCGCGTGGAAGACGCTGCAGACTGCGCTCTATCTGAGAGATTCGCTTGCACCCCGGAGTCTGTAAGATATCGAACGCCTCGCGCAGCTCGGGGCGCGTCTGCGAGGGGCAGAGCAGGCAGTCGCCGTCGCCAAGCCTGTCCAACTCCATCAACGCGGATGTCAGCCTGTGAAGAATTTCCCTGCTCGAGAAGCACTGGAAGTCGTCGTGGAGACTGTCGCGCATCTCGTGCAGGCTCGCAGCGCAAGATCCGTGCGAATCGTACTTTTGTCCCACGAAAAAAATGCCCTCCGGAACGACGTACTTGCGCTGCAGCGGGAACGGCCGCACGGTACCGCCCAGAGCATCAGCCCGGTACTTTCGACAGAAGTGACTGCTGTCGTGCTGCGTTGCGCTTGACCGCGCCATAGGATACACGACGTCCCGCAGAATATCCTGGTCCAGCCCCCATCCGTGGGTCCTCGCTCCGTGATGCGCCCGGATTTCCTGCAGAAGCGGGTCCAGCGCGCCCTGGACGGCACCCCACATCCCGCCGAGCACAGCAAAGTCGTGTGATGCGTGGTCGCGCTGGATGTGGAAGGGTGTGCCATCCTGCTCCCACTCGTGCACGGAGATCGCGTCGCGGAAATCCAGTAGCGTGTCTGAATCGCGGAATATAGCACGGCACACCCCCGAGTCTTCGGCGGCGGTGAAGCGCCAGAACATGGGATTCATGTCCAAGTCTCCGTCCCTCGGGATGACGAGCTCCACGTGAGTGAAGGACGCCAACTCGAGTTGCAGCGACTTCCACAGCGCCCCCGGACGGGCGTATATGCGAATCGTCCATCCGGGAAACCACAGAAGCGACAGAGCGATGTTTCGCGCCATGTTGAGGAAGTACTCCGCGCCGTCACCGTACAGACTGTAGCTGATCACTCTCTTGCACTCTGAAGTATCGAGGCGCTCGCCGACCTGTTCCTTAAGCCGAATAGCCGCCGTCGCGTCAGGCGCCTCGATTCGCACACGAGGCGTGTCTTGCGACCAGGCGGTGTGCTTTCCCGGTGCGCCTGGCAAGTCCGCATCTCGCATGTTGGGGATGCATGCGACCTGCGCATGCGCCGAGGATCCCGCAGTGAAGCGATGCAGGCCAACGGCCGCAACGAGGACCGCCGAGACCAGGAGCTGGAGTCGAAATCGTCGCACCCAGCGTGATTGAACCAGCCTCACGACACACCCTGGGTAATGTGGCCGCCCATCTGCACCCATCGCGCGTACGACCGTTGCGCGCCCCTGAGACGTTCAGCTGTGCGAAGTTGTCGTGCGCACACGTCGTTCGTGTGCGACGCCTCTGCACCCAACAGCGCGGCCGAACCCCAACAGAACACACCAGACGCGAGGCGCCACGTAATCCTCGATGGAGACGAACACGGGCCGCACGGGCTGACTTCCGCTGAGACCCTGACACGGAAGCGCTGCTGTGCTCCTGTTGGTGCCCGCCACGAACTGGCTGTGGGGCACGCTGGGGCCTGGTGCTCAACTCACGCTGCTGGGCCACAAGTGCATTGAAAGTCTCGATGGCAGGATCCTTCAGCGCTTGCACGACGCAGGAGATGATCCAGACACGGTGGCGCCGAGCACGCGCGCTGCAAGCTCCCTGACTTCATGCAGCAGGGGAATGCTTGCGGACGGATGCGCCGCGTGGGGCGCGCATGTGCGCCGGCGGCAACGTCGCTGAGAACTGATGCAGCTCGGGTTGACGTTTCTGCCAAGCGGCTCGTTGGGCTCAGGCAATTGCTTGGGACGCGGTCCGACCGTGAAAAAACAGCTCGAGTAAGCGCAGCTGCCCGACCAACGGCGTCACGTGCGGCGCCGCGCGCCGACAAGGGCGCTCGACAGTGCATTGCCGATGACACAGCCAGTATATCGCCATTGGTTTTGAATGCTTGCCAGGCTACTGAGACGTGCGTGTGGCATTTGCCTCCCAGTCGAGCTGAACACGCCCCTCTCGCCGCGGCCCCGGGTTAGGTTGGGTCGGCGGCTCGCGTTTGGAACGTGGCAGTGACCGAGCAGCAGCAGCAGTGCTTGTTTCAGCCCCACAGGCTGGCGTACGGGGGCGGCAGGAAAGCCGTCTCGTTGCGGCATGGGGCAGCCGTGTTTTTCGCTGCAGCACAAGCCGGCTTCAGTCGCCTGCACTGGTGGCGTTCGGTACAGTTAGCCGACTCGATATCTTGCGCAGCAGTGTGTGGGCGTCATCTCACTGGCACCTAGGGTACGGGAAGTGGCCATTTCGGGTGTGCCGCAGTGCTGCTTGACCAGAGGCAGGCTGCGGGGGCCTGCGGCGTAAAGCCCGATGAGCAGCGCTCGACAGAGTCAGAATACAGGTATTTGCGACGATGAGATGCCGCTGGAGCAGTCCATCGAAGAGCTTCAGCAGGTGCGCACCCGCGTGACCCACGCCCAGCCCACTGGCGTCGGAAGATGGCTTCGACATCGCGATACTCGGAATAGCAGTAACTGGGCACTATCGCAGGACAGGAGCGCTGTGCGTGCTCTAGCAATCCAAGTTTCGGTGAGTGCGCCGCGTTGACCCGATCATCGCGACGGTTCTATGCAGGGGGGGCAGGCGGACAACGACGACGACTCAGGCGACGAAGAGACCGATGAGGTCGTTGGCTCACCCTTGGCGAGCATCTCGCAGCACGCATCCTCTGTTTTCACTGCGACGCTCACAGATCGGCTGCAGGCGCGGCAGTACGCCTCGCATCTGCCCCGCCAAAAGGGGCATCTGTGCTTCGGCTCAAGTAAGCTACAAGCGTGTCGCGGCTCTCTCGGATCGCCTCGTTCCGCGGACTGAGTGCACAATGCTGGCATGACCCACTTCTCGCCGTGCGAACCGCAGACTTCGAAGGAGGTAACGTCGGTGCTGTGCGACCGGTGGGCCAGCATGAATGGGAAATTTGGCTGCGCCCTGACACGGAGGCACCACGGCATCGCCTGTGGTTCTGGTTTGAAGTACAGAATTGCAAGGCCGACCAGCGCGCGATTTTCTCGATCGTCAACTTCTCGAAACAGCGGTCGCTGTACCGCGACTGCATGACTCCGCTGGTATGTTGCCGGCGAATTGGATGTCTCTAGCGATGGTGACACGTTTCAAGTTGGGCTTGCATGCACCCGTGTGCGAGGCAACGCGCAGGTTGCACGCAGTACCGACGTGCGGCTGACTCGTTGCAGAGAGTTCGCGTGCCTTGCAGGTGCGCTCCACATCTCGGCCGCGATGGGAGCGAATTTCATCTCGCAACGTCTTCTACTACCGATCTCCAGCACATCGCAACGCGTACATCCTATCATTCGTATTCCTGTTCGACAACGAGGACGATCACTACGAGTTCGCGTACTCGTTCCCCTACACACCGTCGCGGCTGCAGCGCCACCTCGGTCTCCTGGAGGCCCTTCACCCTCCACACTTTCGCAGGGAACTTCTTTGTAGGACCCTGCAGGGCAGGTTCGCGCCCATTCCCATTGCAAGCTGGTCTGATTCGACGACTCGCGCGTCGTCGCTCACGGTCGACAGTCCGAACGAGTCGGTTGCAGGAGGTGCGACATTCTCACGGTCGCAGATCCGTGGGCGGAGCAGGAGCAGCTCGCAATGAGCCTGCCGCGGAAAGTCGTCTTTCTCACAGCACGCGTACACCCGGGCGAAACACCGGCTTCCTTCTGCATGGAGGGAATCATCAACTTCCTTGCCTCAACGGATCCGAACGCAGCCGCACTCCGCAGGTGGGGGGAACTGCGCCATGGATCGGCAGCTGTAGCTCGCTGAATGTCAGGGGTTGCATCGACTCTCAGCGCGGAGGCGTTTTTGTGCTGCAGGCTGGTGACATTCATCATAGTCCCCATGTTGAACCCTGACGGGTGCTACCTCGGAAACTATCGTTGCGATGCGACCGGTGTGGATTTGAACCGAATGTGGGACACTGCTTCGGCGTCTCTCGAGCCGACGCTGCACGCGACGCGAGCCTTGCTACAGCGGCTGCAGGTGCGGGCATCGTCCTGCTGGTGCACTTGCTCCACCTACGCACTGCGCACACATCAGCTCAACACGAATCGGCCAGCATGAACGTCGCAGGATTCCCCGGAATACGAGGTAGCGATCTTCATGGACATCCATGCGCACTCTACAGCACGCGTCAACATGTGTTACTGCAACGGAGACCAGAGCGCCGCTGGCACCGAGAGGCACATGCGGCTCCTGCGTATCTTCGATAGCTGCATGCTCGGCTTCTCGCAGAGCGCGTGTGTTTTCGAGGGAAGCTCTTCGAAGATTGGCTGCGCACGGCGGCAGGCTGCGCTCATCTGCCCTGACGCGGTCGCGTGCACGCTGGAGGTCTCGTTTTACATCAACAAGCCGCCACTGAGCGACGCAGGCATCCTGCAGTCTCAGCACCAGCAGTTGCAGCGCCTGCAGCCACACGAGCTTGCATTGCAGCAGGGCGACGACACTGTCCAGTCCGGGGAAGTTGACTTCATCGAGCACGCTGACATGTCGCCCAGTACGACGCAGGTGCGGGCGCTGGGCACGTCCCACGCCTGTCTGCTCCTTGAAACGTTGCGAAGCCAGCCAGCGATTCACTCGCCTCGTCGCTCGTCTCGGTGCAGAGCCCAGTGCAAGCTGCAGCCTTGCTCGGCTCGGTGGACCTCAACACCGAGGAGAGGTACATCGAGATGGGTTCGCAGGTGCGGCCAATCTTTGCTTGGGGCTCCCTCATCTCATCCATCCTGTTGCTCTTATGACATGCCCGCCTCTCTGACGCAGGTTGCGCTGGGCATCGCCGACTTTTTCAACATCCCGCGGCAGCGAACCGTGTCGCAACGGTCGTTGGAGCTGCTCAGGGGGGCCACCACGATAGCTCAAAGCTCGCGTCAGGCACTCACTGCTCTTGGTCTCCGCAACAACAACGGTGCGCACTTGAAGGCCGTGCCATACGAGCTCCAGATGCTTTCCTTGGCGATGGTGCGTACGTGTTCAAACAGCTGATGAGAGGTGTTCCTTGCTCTCTGCAGGCGAAGGAACAGGCGTGTGGACTGCAGCTGCAGAAGGGGCGTCAATTTTTCCCGCTGGTTCGCAGCCTCCTGTATCAGTCGGACACGACAGGCGGGAAGACGCCGCGAGGACGTACGAGCCTCGCAGCGGCACAACGGGCAGGAGCTCAAAGCTAATCGCAGCTCACGGAAAGAGTGTCGAACCAAGCGGCACCATCGCCGAAGAACAGGTGGCGGCGGGAGGACCTGCTGCTGTCAGCGTCAATTGCAAGTCGGGTCCTAATGATGCTGACGGGCAACGTGCGCCTGCCGAGGATTGCCGTGATGCTGTGCTCCACCCTCTGGAGTCTCTCGCACAGTTCAGCGTGGATACGGGCCGGAAAGGCCCAGACAAAGGTAATGAGCACATGATTCGTCACCCTGACTGACAGGCTCTTCCAATCCGTGGACACATGCTATGTTCTTGTATTGTCTGCACTCCTGCAGACACGGCAGCAGCGGCGCTGCAAGGAATCAAGGGTTCGGCCATACGGCAGCCGTGTACAACGATGGCTGACAGCGGTGCGGCTCTCAGCGAGGCATGCCAGGACGTTGTTCCTTTGGAAAAGGTCAGTCCACTCTTGTACTCTCATTTCTGCTTTGTCTCGATACATCGTTGCGCCACTCATTTGCGTTCACCACCACCCGCAGGGGCGTTGTGATGCCTGCGATCTACCAGTCGACCAAGCCTCGGTTGATTGTTGTGGACAACCTGCGAGAAATCGTGATGGGCATCGAGGCAGGTCGCCACTAGATGCTCTTCATTCAGGGTGCGTCCGTGACAGTGGTTCCACTGCGCAGTGCTGGCGGCCCCGTGGTGCCATGTCATTGTACGCTGCATCGAGGCTTCGATTGCAACATGCCACTTTGTTCTGCAGGCACGCAGCGATCAGTGCGGACGGCGCTGAGGACCATGCCGGCTCGCCCGGTGCGTTACGCCGGGTCAATGGACTCACGGAAGCTGCCAAAGGACACAGTGATGATGTTTCTGACGACAGATCCTTGCCAGCCATCCATCTTGCGCGCGGGTACCAGCCGCGCCAGCCATTCGCAGGAGCTCCCGGGCCTGCGCGACCTCGAAAGGAGGAGCACAACGATAGGCCGCCTCGTGATGCAAACGTTGCAAGGAGCGGATCGAAAAGAAATAATCTGCCCGTGCGTGACAGATCGAGTATGTCAGCCTCACGGATGACGGATGTTGAACGAGCGAAGCGGGACATGAACGGTGTCGTCCTCCCCAACGTCGTCGGCCAAGCAAACGACCTGCCGGATTTGTTTGACCATGCACGATCGCTGGCAGGACCAGACAAACTGAGGGATCATCCCTCAGGACCCTCTGACGTGCGGGCAGCGGATCGTCCTTTCCGGACGCAGTCTGTCGGTCAGATGGTTCAGTCCGCGATTGGCATCCATGGGTTGGAAGCTCAGGACTTGGGCGTTGCAGGCGAGGCTGCAGTGTCGCTGCGAGACGCATCGATGCCGGGCCCCACTTTCGCGGCACACTTGTCAGCGGAGCGCACGTCGTCAAGCAACCTCATCGCCAGCCTGAGCCGGCGCATCGGCAACAGACGTTTCGCGGGACGACACAGGTCGTACAGGACGACAGAACGAGGATCACTTCCGGCCCCCGCTGCCAATGGCGCAGCAGAAAGGCAGGACTCCGGCAGCGGCAGCGCCCAGTCAGGCGCCGCGGTTCCACAGGAGCGGTCTGGCGATGCGCGATCGCGAGGAGAGGAAAGGCATGCGACAGGCACAGACACATACACAGTGCATCGTGCGCTGCAGCCCCTGCACGAGAAGCTGATGGCCACGAAGAGGCAGGCTGCACGGTACACACAAGCGTTGGCGGAGCGCAGCGGGATGAGAGAGCGACGCAAGCCCGATAAGTGAACGCCGCATGCGGTGCGTTCAAGTGCTTGATCGCTGCCCTTCAGACCGCAGACTCACGTCCCCGTCGTCGTCGTACCGCGAAGGCTGGAACGGTCTCGTAAAGTAGTAATTGACCACCCGCGCAGGAAACGAGATGCGGATGTGTTATCGTCCTGATCAAGGCCGCAACGTGCTAGGAGTACTCGCGTAAAATGCCATGTGAGCATGTCATCATGTGCCAAGGGGAGGCCCGTGCTTGAGTGTGGAAGATATGTAGGAGAGAATGGGTCTCAGATGCGCCAATGCCTCGAGGACCCGCACGGTGCCGTGCGTGAACTTCCAAACCGAATCAGCGAGGCATGGCGCTCTTGTTTGCTCGCGGCACGATCTGCGGCAAGCTGACTCGGTCACAGCTGACGAACCTCTCGCAATCAGCGGTGGGTGGGCAACATGACTCGCCACCTAGTCGCGCGATCTTTTCAGGTCAAACTGGAGTGCGGATGTCGCTGGTCCAACACACCTGCGCGATCAGCTTCAGGAGATCCCCGGTCAATGGCGGGCCCTGCGGCAAGTCCTCGTTGGCAAGTCCCGCTGCGCCCTGATGTCGTTGGACGGCGACCGTGCCCGGCAGGCGGGTGTCACGTGCGGTGCAGATATCACATATTGCCCAGCGCCCAGGGACAGTGAGATCTCGCTCTCTACTTGTGTTTCACACACGCTGCTCCAGTTCATCTGCGAGTTCCTGCAGGCGTTCCTGCTGGTCCAAAGTGATCATCGCTTGAAGGACGGGCTCCAGCTGTCCATCCAGAACCCCGTTGAGGTCGAAGTTTTCTTTGCAGCGATGGTCAGACACGCGAGAGTCCTTGTAATTGTACGTCTTGATCTTCTCACTGCGCCCGCCAGAGCCCACCTGGCTCTGGCGCCGTCGTGCAACCTCCTCGCGCTGCTTCTGCACCTCTGCTTCGAACAACCTCATGCGCAACAACTTCAACGCCTTCTCGCGGTTCGCCGCCTGACTGCGCCCCTCCTGACAGAAAATGCGAATCCCAGTCGGCTTGTGCGTCAGGTCGATCGCAGTTTCCACCTTGTTCACGTTTTGTCCTCCCGCGCCTGATGCGCGGGCCGCGTGAATTTCCAGGTCCTTCGCATCGATTTGCACCTGCACTTCGTCCACCTCTGCCATGATGGCGACCGTCGCTGTCGACGTGTGCACTCGCCCCGACGACTCCGTGGCGGGCACACGCTGTACGCGGTGCACTCCAGCCTCAAACTTCAATTTCGAGTACACTGCCTCGCCATTGATCTCCAGAACCACCTGCGACCGAGCCAGATGACGAATGTGCGTAGAACAAAGCGCCGCATGACACGCGTGAGTTTAGACTGTGTGTCGTGAGAGCGGCGTTCGCTCGTGCAGCCACAACAAGGGGGTCCTTAGGATGCTTGCAAGGAGATGCGCAACAAGTCTTTACGCGCCTCCTTGTAACCCCCCGCCTCCGCGTCGGCGAAGCTCACGAGCGCGACCGACCAGCCTTGCGAGTCGGCGTACTTCTGATACATTCGTGTGAGATCTGCTGCCCAAAGCGCCGCCTCGTCGCCACCCGTGCCAGCACGTATCTCAAGCATCACGTTGCGTTCATCGAGCGGATCTGATGGCAGCAGTAAGAACTTGAGTTGGTCCACCAATGCCGGCTCAGCCTCCTGCAGCAGGTGGGCCTCTGGGATGTTTATGTTTATGTTTATGTTTATGCTTTCAGCGGTTCCAGCAACCAGGCATCCAGCAGTTACCAATGTGCCCCCCAGTTGACACAGTGCTGCGATCATGAAAGCTTCGCAGCAGATCGCGAGGGCATGCGCGGACTGAGCTCCATCGGGCCGTGTGACCAGCAAGAGCTTTCGAGACGTGCCTGAAGCTCATCAAGCTCCACACGGGCCAGCTCTCGCATCTCCGCATCCGTCTCCTCGTTGAGCATTTCTTTCGCATCGGAAATCCCCTGCTCTATCTCCTTGTAGCGGTTGTATGCCTGCACTGTCTTCTCCATCTCTGATGCCGCCCTACTGAGACGAATCATCTCAGTCGGGTTGTTCGCAAGGCCAGGGTCTTCCAGCGCCTTCTGAAGGTCGCGGTATGCTTGCTGCGTGGCTTCCAGCTTGTCAATCAGATATTTCGGCTGCGCGGAAAGGGGACCTTGCAGCTCTCAGCGCGCAAAAAGGACGTCGATGCGTGCGCCCCCGGCAGATTGGCTCGAATCCGGGATGCACATGGTTTGGCGTCGCGAGGTCGGCCTCATTCCCGCGTGGACGTTGCGAGTGAGACCGAAGGGTGCTGTGCCTGATGGCACCCCAACCAAACGGTTGGTACCTCATCGGGCACGAAGTGGGGGCAGGATCGAGGACCAAACTGTTGCACATAGGCCGCAGTGGTCCCACCGCAAGCTTCCGTGCGGTGCACCGCCCGGGCGTCGCGGATGATCTCACTCGCAGCCTGTCGCTCGTGTTGCGCGGTGACGCGCTCGGCATGCAGCGCCCCAACACATGCAAGTACATGTGGCATCGACTCTGGTGGCGCGCGCCTCACGCCTGATTCCACGCATCGGGGAGGTCGTAGTTGCGCCCACCCACTCACCGCAGCTCTCGGTCGCCTTTCCGCCAGGATTTTGCGTCGTAGTGGATGCACGCATCGCAGTGGACGGCCACGAGGCAGGCACGTGCGAACGGTCATTCGGTCGGGGTGTCCCGTTTCAGTACGACCGAGTTCCTGTCGTGTGCAGGACGTGCTGGTGGATGCGGCCCACAGCTGGCACAAGTTCCGACAGGCACCAAGGCGATCCGCACGTCAAGCGAGACGCGGTGTCGAGAGTGATACATCGCGGCATCGCTGTGCCTCAGTGACCGGGCCGCGGTGGCCGACCAGGTCTGACCATGTCACCTGAGGTCAGGCCTCGCTGAGGAAACACATTTCGGCAGCTTGGAGGGACTCCTCCCTGCTTGTATCTCCACCGAGTAGCACTTGTTGTCCGGTGCGGGGCTGGAGGCGCCGTGCACAAGGGTCAGTGACACCGTTGCATTCGCTGGTAACACACACGGCCTCAAGCCATGGTCATCGTACGGGCTCATGCCATGCCCGTTGCACTGCGCGCAGCAATCGTCACAATGACCAAGGAAAGGGGTGGCCGAGAGCAACGACGTGGTGGAGTACCCGCACGCAGGATGAGCAAGCGGCAGCAACAGATGTCGGGGTCCCAGCACCTGCGCGCGCAGCTCGAGTGAAGTCTTCGATCAGTGACGAGCCCCGCGGGCGTGCGGGTACTCGTCGGCAAGCCCCATAACGCGTCCCGATGTCGTCGGCCGGCGACCCTGCCCGGTGAGACATACGCAAGACATCACACATGTCAGGTGAGGCGGTGACAGCCCCCTCACGTCACCCGCTACTCGGGCGGCCCGGGGCCGTTCCTGGAAGCACACGTTGAGCAGCGGGTCCGCGTGATGGTTGGCAGGGGGTGGGAGTGCATCGCCCATGAAGCTCTCGCGCGATGTTGATCACAGTGTGATGAAGTGACGTCCGACGACATTGTTCTGGTCCAGAGTTACGATTGCCAAGATGTGCGAGAGAAGGGCAAATGGTCAGCGGCAGCACCTGCGTCGTGCTGGAGGGCTGCACAGCGGGCGAGCTCCGCACGTTGGCAGGAACAAAAAGGCCTCATGGTGAAAACGCACGCACGCACAAAAGAAGCTTTGGCACAGCTCGGTCAGAGTATACACGAGCAGTCCATCGATTGGGCCGAGGCGACCGCACTGAACGGTCCCGAAGGACAGTAGGGTTCGCGACACACACACACCCGTCGTCGAACATTGTCCGCAACATCGCCAGTGCGTTCCCTCCAGGAGCGCGCTCGCGGGCAGTGCCGGACGTCGAAAAACTTTTCACACCGCTGTTGACCACCGCTGCGCACGGGGCACGTCAACCCGGCAATCTTCAGGAGATTTTTATCTCGCCCATCGATGGGCACCATGGCCCGTGCCGTGTCTGCAGTCACAGCATGAGTCGCTGCTCTGAAGGGCAGGATTGAGACGACTCTGTAGACCACACGTGCTTGGGTTGGCGCCGCTGACAATCCAAGCTTGAACTCCACGACGGCGCCCGAGCGCACGACAAGGGCCACGCTGCAACGGCCGCGTCGTCACGCATACTTCTCGTGCAGCATCTCCCGTGCTTTGGTGTCGACGACAAGCTTCGTGGCCCGCAGGACGTCGTAGACGTTCAGGTTGTCCACAGTCGCAACTTGCAGGTACTGCACGTTGTTCGCAGCCTTGAAAAGCGCCTCGTTGTAGTCCGCCACGATCAGGTACACAGCCTCGGCCATGGGGTCGGCTCCAACCTGCGCGGACAGCCAGTTTGCGTGAAAGTGAAGTGTGCCTGGCCTTGCGCTGGGCTCCACGCGAACAGGCGAGGTGAGCTCCGTTGGAGCATTTCCGCCTAGAAAGGATTGCCAGGTGCAACCCGCACCGCACCGGGTCAGGCACAGATCGTGGTACTGTGGGCTCCCGGCAGGCAGCGCTCGGGAAGTGGATGAGGCTGCTCTCTTGCAGGCGAGGCACGAGCATCTGGCAAGGGGATTTCGGCATCGCGACCTCCTGGAATCATCTCGCAAAGACATCGCAGGTGAGCACATACGCGAATGCATGCTCCTGCGCCTCGAGCCGGCGGGACGTGAAGCTCGACTGTCGAAACGTCGCTCGCGCAGGTTCGCGTTGGGCCGCATGGAGCAGTACCTTGGCCAGACTCTGCACGAGTTCCTTCGTCTTCATGCTCTCCCACGCCGCGAAGCCGTCGACCACCACCATCGAGTCCTCGGCCGCCGACTGGATGGCTGTCGCCATGGCCACCTGCTTTTCCCGCTTGTTCATGCTGACCGTCCAGTCCCTCGGCTTCGGCCCGAAAACGATGCCACCGCCGGGCATGAGCGGAGACACGCGGGATCCGCGCCGCGCGTTGCCGGTACCCTTCTGGGCATACGGCTTCTTCCCGCCTCCGCGCACCTCGGACCGGGTGAGGGTCGATGCCGTCCCGGCACGCTCGTTCTGCCTGATCATGGTCACGTAGCGGTGCACCAGACCCTTCGCCGAAGCCTCGCTGGCGACCTTGAGCTCCATCTCAGCAGTGCCACTCGAGGACCCATCCAGCTTTTTCACCGGCACCGAGGCTGCAGACGCGTTGCATCGCACTGATACGCGGCCCTGGTGAGCGAAGGACGCGCGCGCGGACTGGCCGCGCGTGCAAGGCTTTCCGATCATGGCCACGCAGCAGATGCTCGACAGGCACTCCTTCAATGGCGGGTCGTGTCTGGCAGACTTGCTCCTGCGTGGCGCGCAACGTGAATGCGTTCGTCGACGAGCGCCGGCCTTGGCGTCACGCGCGGCGTGGGGTGGCTCGAACTCTGTCGGACCGCGCCCCGGCGCGGGGGGGCCCGGGCGGTCCCGACGCAGGGAAAAGGCCACGTTGGCCAGTCCCCCCCCTCCTGTCGCAGGCGTAGTACGCCCGTGGAGGAGTCCTCCGCCTCGGTAGCCTCCGGCTAAGAGAGCGCTGAACGAGGACAAAGTACTTTCGGCCCCGTGACACGAGATCGCCTGGCCCCATCGCGCAGTGTTCACGACTCGCTTCCTGCTGCTGTAGCTGTGGCTGCGGAGCTCAAGTCTGGAAAGCGAGCCACTTCCACCGCGGCGACACAGGTCACACGCCTCGAAAGTTGAGTGTTGACCTTGCGCGTCTGCTCCGATCTTCCTTGTGTTGTGTCTCTCGACCCTCTCATGCACTGCATGTGTGGCTCTATTCGTCGCGATACAGGTCGCTAGATGCGTCGGAGCCCAGCCCGTACAACACACCTCGATGAACCGTGAGAATGTCGTCACCATCTCCGGAAGTGAAGTAGTCCGCAACCAGTTTCGTAAAGGCTGTGGCTGTGAGCAGTGAGTCGGAACCGGCCTGGTGTTGAGGGCCTATGCGGCCCACCTCCAGCTGCTCAGCGAGCCTGTTCAAACCTCCGTGTAGGTTGCCACAGAACTTCATGAGATACTTGATGTCGTACACGGTGGGGAAGAAGATGTGGAAGAGCTCGAAGAAGTCCGATTCTTGCTCCGGGAGATTGTCGCACGTTAGGAGCTGCATACGATGAATGCATGCGCAATGTATGTGACCACGTCGCTGCAGGGGACCTTCCTTCAGCACGCAGGGAAGCAAACTCACCTTGAGGAGGTACCCGAAGTCGTAACTCGAGTGAAAGGTCACCCATCGAATGTTTGCATTCAAGACGATTCCAGACGTCATGAGCAGCTCCGCGAACCTCTTGACTTCGATTCCGCGCCGATTGATCTCGTCGAAATCAATCCCCGACTCCCTGAGCAGATCGATTGAGTCCTGCAGGCGATTGACACGTCGCCAGCCCCGCATGGGCTTGTCTGTGGGGCGCTCCGCACCATCTCAACCTGCCTTCGGGGCGAGGGGCTTCGTGCTACGCCGCTAGGGTGGCGGTCATGACGATTTGAGGATCAATCGCGCCTGGCCCAAGGTCCCGGGTGGCGATTCATGTCTCACTGTTACCGCAGCACGAAGGCAGGTCCCGGCACTGTGGGCGCACCGACGCGTACAGGTCCTCTGACAGCTTGAACTCCCTGAAGTTGAACTGCCATGCACACAGCTCACCGTCGTGCACCGGCAGGTTGCCCTTGTCGTCCGTGAATGTCAGTCCCAGCTGAATGATTTTCAGCAGGTCGACATTTGTCCTGCGCCACGACAGCGGTATCTCGGTGGCCAAAGGGCACATGCATAGTGGCCTCGCGTGTCGCACGTGTTGCGGGAGCGACGCATGCGGTGTCACGACGTGCGGTACATTCCTACTGAAGGACGAAGGCTTCTGCGAACGGGTCGCGCGGCCGCGGAGCTCGAAGCCTCACCTCAATTTCGCGTAAGTGAACTCGCCGTTCGTTCTGAAGTTCCCAACGGGCTTGACGACGACACCGGGGAACTCCGTGTCCATTGCAAGGTAAGGATAGCGGTCAACAACGTCCCGGATGATCTCGAACTCCTGCAAAGGCAAAACGGAGCTGGAGGCCCTCGGCGAGTCGAACACTTCGAATCGCGCGCTTCTGGGGCTCGGACTACACACTACGATGCGTCCTGCGGGCACGGTCTTTCGCACAAGCATCGTGCCTGGTCTAAGTTGTCGCTCCAAACCTCCCTGACTCGCAGCGTGTCCCCATCAGGGGTGATCGAGGTCAACCCCTCCGCCACCATTCCGCGCTGTCGGACGTCCCCCCTGAGTCCGCCTATGCAGCTGAAGCTATCTGTAAGCGTCTGGCAGTCGCACAACAATGTTCATCCGCACGCGCTCGGACACTCGCCGGCCTGTGCTCTTGGGGGCCTGGAAAGAGACGAGCAGCGCAAGGGTGACGCGGCAAAGGTGCTCCGGGAAACACTTGGACCAACTCGCTGCGATTTCGCGAACTGGCGTCGCGACTAGAAGCCCTGGAGCCGCTCAGCGACCGGGTTCGACCGGGTTGGACCCTGAGCGTGACGATGCGTCCGACATGGTCAGGGCTATAATAGAGGTCTCGCATGGAGTCATGGAGGCCCATCTCAAGTGTTAACGATGCCCGCCACAGACTGGGGTGGTGAGGTGGAGGTAGGCGCGGTGCGAAATCCCGCATTGAAAGGTCACACGCACGATGAGTGCATGTGTCGACTGCTCGCAGAGCAGAGTTTCGCCGTGCAGGGTGCCACACCTGCGAATCACCGGAGGCGTGGTTGGCAAGTCCAATCGCTGGGGTGAAAAACGAATGTGCACTACAAACGTGCCTAACCACGGTCGTCTCGACCACACAAAGAGGCATTTGAAAGTCATCACAGCGTCCGAGGCAGCGTAGCTACGCGCGAGGAACGATCACACGGATTACCAAGTCGACGGGCTTGGCCACGTGCTGCTAGTGGTGTTTCTAGTGGCCACTTTGCCGTTGCTGCGGCGCCCGGCCTTCTTCGGCACGCAGCTGTGCTCGGCGTCGCCATCAACTGCGCAGAGGTGATTAGAGATGAGAATCTACGCACTTCTTGAACCACTCATTGCCTGACAGCCTTCAGGGAGTAGGTTTTCGATCCAGGGGAATCGACGTGCGTTGACCGGCATCCAAGGGCAGGCGTCACGAGCAAGAGGACATGGACGGAAAGACTGCGACGCGCGCCTTGCCATGGCGATGGATCTCCGAAGAAGAAGGGTCGCCGTGTCATGGATGGCTTTCCAGCATGTCAGCCAGCTCCGAATGCACGTGATATTGTCCCGCTGAATGGCTGTGCTGGGTTTTCGGCGCATCCGACCCATCTAGGACCAGCGCAGCATGTCAAGACGCCCGTACACGTTGCCGCCTGCCGTCGCCTTGTGCATTTCCCGCTCCTTGTCTCGAGCGTCGTCTCGTATGGAGTAATCTTCGGCGACGATGGCATGCACCGGGGCATGCGCCGCGGATGCAACACGCGTGACTTTCGCGAACTTGCCCAGTCGCGGAAATGCCAGTGCCGGGCAGTGCAGATCCACCTGCAGTACGAGACATGTTGCACTGCGCATCGTGCGAAAGATGACAGCATGCGCACAAGATTGCGCATGGCAACCTCCGGCGACAGTACCGACCACCGTGGCGTGGGGCGTGCGCAAAGCAAAGGTGTGCACATGAAGCTCGCACCTGCTTGAGATTTTTGCACTCTTTGATGTCCAAGTCATCGAGCACCTCCGACCAGATCATGACACTCTCGAGAGCGAGGGATTCGCGCAGATCCACGGTTTGAAGGCTGCTGCAGTGCAGCACGATCTTCTTCAGAGCCTTGCAAATTGTGAGGGACACGTTCTCCAACGAGGCCGACTGTACGAGGACATACTCGAGCTTCGGGCAGCCGTCCAGATGCAGACTCCGCAGAGATGGGCAAGCGTTGATCGGCGAGATCACCACCTGCATGGCCCGCCGGCAGAGACGTCGATCACGAGCCAACGCGACCAGGAGCAAATTGGGGCAAGTGGAGGCTGGTCTCACGGCCAAGCGCACCTTCGTGATATTTATATTGCTCTTCAGAGAGAGCACTTCGAGATATGGCGGGGCAAGCTTGACGATCTCCGCGGGAAAGGTGTCCCGAACGTCTTGTTGCTGGTTCACCTCAATGCGGCTGCAGCTGGTCAGGATGCGCTCCCGCAGGGCGCCCCAGGTCGGCCACTGGTAAGCGTCGGGCAGAGCACTAGGAGGACGCGTCCACAGACCACCTTCTACGGCCTGCAAGCTTCGCAACGACGCGCACTTCAGACGTGCATGGGGGGGCAGGTGCATGGAACACGCAGGTGCGCGTGTTGGAGACGCGCATCCCGGCCGGAGGCATCGCACCTTCTCCCAGTCAGGATCATGAGGCGGCTCTTGCGCCTCCTTGTCCTTCCTCTTGCCTCCCTTCGGCATCTTGCTGCGGTCTCGCAGGCAACGAGCATGTGAGAGAAGCGTGCGAGCGCAAATACGACGGTTTCGAGCAGGCAAGGGACGCCGCACGCAGCTTCAGGTCGGCGATCGCGACGTTCGAGGGCCCTTGTCGGCTCGGGGTCTCAGCTGCCCACATAGCGTCTGCAAGCAGATGCAACTTACCTCTATCGCAACTCTGTCCCGAACTTCCGCCGAACACGGCTGCTCCGGCAAATGTCAAACAGGGGCCTATGATGCCCTGCGTACCGGAGCCGACGAGGTGTTCGCAGTCGGCTCGCCGAGCGACGTCGCCGTTGCACAAACAAACTGCACTACATGTGCATCGCGGGAAGCTGGGAAAGAGGGATCGCCTTGCTCGCACGAAGTTCCGAGTGGTCATGCTAGGCGACACGCAGTCCATTCGAACGGCTGCGCCGCAACAGCGCCGCCGCCGGGCGGGGCAACTACTCCCCCCCCGGTAGCACTGGTCGCCGACCACCGCCGGAGTCCGGCGGACGCAGCCTGGGCCCCCCCGTGACCGGGTCCGGGCACCACCACCGGTCACCCGGTGACCGGTGGCATCTGGGTGTTATATTGACCAGGCGAATGGTTGGTTGTTCAACAGCCCGGTCGTTCAGACGGTCTGTCTAGTTCCGCATACGCACACCGCACAGCAGCAGCCTCCCCCAGACTCGTCCCGCCGGTGCTGAAGTTTATCGGTGCATAGGCACAAATGCAGGCTTCATGAACACACCGCTTTGTGTTTGCCCGGCAATCACGAGACCTCGAGAGGCCCGCTTGGGGTGCCTGGGCGACTTCCGATCGATCATCCTGTGTGGGAGGTGCGCGATAACAGCGTACAAACTTGCCAACATGCAGGTTGGGTGTGGCGCGATGGTTGCCCGACGTCAAAAGTTACCAAATTACACTCTAAGTCGCCAAATGCGCATGGGGAAGAAGGCTGCGCAGAGCAACTGTGTTCCAAAGTAAACCGTGCGTGGTCTTCAATCGCCGTGCGGCGCTGGATTGATGCTGTTCGCCCCGGCCTGCGGCGACGAACTGTTATGAACTTGGAAGTTCTTTCGTTCGTCCCGCTCTCTCGCATCCTTCGCGATACGCGTCTTCAGTGTCGACAAAACCCGCGCGGCAATGACGTCAGGAGGTGCTCCGAAGTGTTCGTCGGGCTCGCCGGCAAGCTCGATGGTGAGATCCGCATTGGCGTACTGCTGCTCGCGCTCCATCATCAGCTTGTGGATTTCGACCGCCACATCCTGCGACAGAGCGTGATGTTCCTAAGTGATTAGAGGCTGCGTTGCCGAGAAGCTCGCACGCGTCATGTGCAGCGCCATGCGCTCACCTCCTCTCCTTCAGCACCTGCAGATGACAGGAGCGGCCTTTTCGACAAACCCTCGCGTATCACGCGTTTCGCCAGCAGCTTCGAGTCTCCCCGCAGCCACACAACGACGCCCTGTTGCATGTAGCTCCAGTTCACTCGAACTGTCGGAATACCCCCTCCGGTGGCGACGACACAGCTCTTGTACGCAGAAAGCTCGGACAAAACTTTCGTCTCGATCTCGCGAAAGTCGTCGATGCCAATATCGGCAATTACCTCTGCCACTTCTTTCCCTGCAAGTCGTGTCTCGGTGCGCTGCGACCTGTGAACCTTTTGAGCTCGGATGGACGGGCTTGCGAACCGCTGTACACGTAAGAATTCACGCGAGCTGACCGCTTCGGCGGTCGCTCTGCCCCCCCCGCTCGATACAGTTCGAACCCGTCAGCACGAGCTCAGTCGCACAGACCGACCACTTGCATTGACTGGACCAAGCTGCTGCGCTTGTGAGGTAAAAACACTTCGAACGGGACTTACCCATGAGGCCCTCGACGATCTCATCCGTGTCGAAATACATGTAGCCCAGCGCACTGGCGACGAGCTTGCCGACCGTGGACTTGCCGCTACCCATCATTCCCACGAGGTATATCGACGCTCCCTGCGTGTGCGCGGCGAAGATTGTCATCGTTTGGCAGTGCCAGGGAAAGAGATATTCACACATGGGTGAACAACGGTAGATCAATGTGGAAGAGCGCGCCGGATACCCTTGCACGAACCTGCAGGCTGTCCCTGAGCTCTAGTGCAGATGCCTCGGACGGTGAAGGGAGGCCCTGTTCAGCCTCCTGCTTGCCGGATGAAGCATTAACGCTCGAGCCGCCTCGGCCAAGATTGAATCGACAGTCGTCGTGGAGCAGGAGCAGGCTGGCGCCCTTCACCCCAGCCGTGCGCGGCCGTGCGCGCCCCCAAGGCTCATTTTGCGGTGCTCGCCGGGCCTTTGCGCGGTGTAACTCTGTTGATACGCTGAATGGCGTAAGGCATCTCGTCATGGTCGACAGGTTGCGCCAAGTGCAAGCGTACCGCAGGACGCCTCTACGTGACTGGTGCTCGACTCCAGCCTTTCAGCGAATACGACGCATGCTGTGTATGTACCGAACTGCACACGGAGGGGCATCAAAGATGACGGGAGATCACACGGAAGACAATCTGTCACAAAGAGCCCAGACCCCCCTCAGCTGAGCTGGCCCCCGGGCTCAGCCTGGCTGCCAAGCCCTGACACACATTTGCCAGAACTTATGAGAAGTGAGTCCGAGACAGCTCCAGTAAATGGAGGATGCCGGCGAAAGTCGCCTGACTCTAGAAACTGTTCCGCATCGCACAGACCATGTCACTGGCTGGTTCATTCAGTCGATGACCACCACATGGACACGATCGCCCGAGCCATCAAGTTCCGCTCGAAACTTGCTCTATGTGGTCCAACCTTCACGGTGACCTATGCGGAACTGCTGCGACGCGCACTGGTACTCACGGGCCGCGCTGAATGGGGAGGCCCACCTGGTCCTGCAAACGCAGCAGCAAGTGGCCCACACGACACCAGCCCAGGTCGATCACGGAGCAGCCCGTGCACATCCAGCTCTCGCATCGTCGGTGGTGGTGATCGGGCTGCGATTCTAGCACACGCAGGCAAGCCCACGTCAAGTCGCACAGTTGCCGTTAGGCCCCCCTGTTTCGCTCGCGGGGGCGTGACGCCACGCGCGAATGCGTATATGCAGGACCAGATTTCGTCGCCTTTCTCTGGGCGACATGGCTCTGTGGCGGGGTGGCGGTACCAGTGAGCCCTCGCCACCCCTTGAGGGAACTTGAGTACGTTGTGCGCGATTCAGGTTGTAGGTGCGTCAACATGCGGCTGCTTCACGAAATCGCTTTGTACGTACGGCGGAGAGACCGAGCTTGATTCGCTGTCTCCGCTTCGATGCAGCACAGTGCTGTGTTCTTCACATCTGAAAGTGGTGGCCGAAAAATTGGCGTCGCGGACCGGCGTGACCGTCCATGAACCTCCGGAAGATGGAGAGTGCGGCGCGCTGCATAATCGTGGCGTGGACACCTCGGGCACCATGGTGCGCCAGGGCGATCCGCCTGGATTGGATGCGAGTGAGGCTCGACGTGCCGTCGACGAAGCGCTTGCCGACATATCCAGTGACGATGACTGCCCAGCAGTCATGCTATATACGAGCGGGACTACGGGATCTCCGAAGGGGGCTGTGCACACACACGCGTCGCTGCATGCTCAGGTGAGATTTTCAATGTGCTCTCTCTCCAGACGTCACACAGGCTCCTTCCTTCGATGCCAGCGAACACCGACCTCTGCAAGTTCTGAAAAAGTATCATGCACGTTGCTCGCAGATCGCAATGCTTTGCACGGCTTGGGAGTGGACGCAACACGACCGCATGCTGCATTGTCTGCCCCTCCATCACATCCACGGCCTCGTCAACGGTCTGCTCTGCGGGCTGTACTCGGGGGCCGAGATCGAAATGCACGAGGTGTTTCGCCCTCGGTCTGTATGGGAGCGCATCGCAGGTGGCAACATCTCAGTGTTCATGGGTGTTCCAACAATGTTCAGGTGCGATGCGATCTGATGATTTTGGTTCTGACACACTCGTCGCCGCGCGAGTTCAAGCACATGATCGCGCTGCGGCTGCGTCCATGGTGCGAGGGATGCTCGCAGGCAGCTCCTGGAGGCGAGGTCGAAGCTCGATGTCAGCGAGCAGGAACGCCTGGCCAAAGGTGCACGTACCCTGCGTCTCGCTGTTTCGGGCTCCTCCGCGTGTCCTGTGTCTACGATGGAAAGCTGGAAAGCTATGACGGGCTCGTATCTGCTTGAGAGGTAAGGTTCATAGCTGCGCCGTCAACGATTCATGTCGTTTTTCCGAAAGCCTCGACCGAGGAGTAGACCACGACCGTCCGAAACGTGCAGGTTCGGAATGACTGAGACTGGTATGGTGCTGTCGAACAACTACCAGGGGGCTCGTCACCCTGGATTCGTTGGAGGACCGCTGCCGGGAGTCGCGGTGACCCTTAGATCTCCTGCACAGTCCGCTGATACACGTGAGTCAGCGGAGGCGGATGAGCTGCTTGTCAAGTGCCCAGGGATGTTCCAGCAATATTGGGGTAGACCCGATGCGACTGCTGATGCGTTCACAGGTGGGCCACGGACTCTGGCATGTTGCCGAGCCGATTTTCGCCTTTCACCTGGCCGTTGATGACACGATTCTACCCGGCATGTCGCAGAAGATGGGTGGTTTCGCACCGGAGACGCTGCGCGCGCCGAAGAAACCCCTGATGGCGGCATGCGCTATCAGATACTGGGCCGCCTCTCAGCGGACATTTTGAAGGTGCTGGGGCACAAGGTGTCCGCGCTGCAGGTCGAGGATGCGATTATGGAGCACCCGTACGTATCGGAAGCTGTGGTGTTCGGGGTCGAAGACCTCAACGATGCCAGGGGGGAGCTTGTTGTGGCCATGGTGGTCTTGCGCGGCGAAAACGTCGCCCTCGGCGTGGGGCAGCTGCGTGCGTTCCTCGCCGACAAACTGCCTGTATACTGCCTTCCTCAGATGGTCGAGGTCGTCGATCATCTGCCAAGGAACGCGATGGGGAAGGTGAACAAGAAGGCTCTCAAGGCCTCGTGGCGTACTGCGGGGCGGTCCAAAAGCACTCCGGCGACGTCGCAGGTCCCGCCTGAGTCATGAGCAGGAGCTGCCTAGTGCGGTGAGGCGTCATATATTTCGCGTCGGTGGCCATAAGGCTTGGTGTGATAGCGCGATCGAACCCAGGCGCTACATCGACGACAATTTCTCTCTAGCGAACGTACTGTACCGCTACTTCGACACCCACGCCCGGGCCCCCACCCCGCCCCCTGAAACCCCGTTGTCGATCGTAGATCTCGTCCCTGGTGTACATGACATGTACCTCCCCCGTCTTGAAGTCGAATTTGACGCCCCAGCGAACCCGCTCGACGGCGACTCCTTCCTCGACCTCCGCGTATGTCCGCACCCAAATACCAGGGCCTCCTCCTTGTCTCACGCAACGACAAACGCGGTCTCCTGGCAACATACACCTCATTCAGTACCCCCAAGCTTCGTGTGCGCTGCTACGACGACACCCTCACAACATCGTCCGCACCGAACACATCCGTGTGTCCAGCGAGGTGACCGACTGCGACTGCCACGTGGCCGTGATGTCGGCCGTGATACACATCGCAGTTACTGCATGCGACAGATCTTGGCCATCCACCGCGCCGCCTGCCAGACGTACCCGAGTCCGCACTTTCGCCCTGCCACGCCGGCGGGTCTGGCTGACCTGGTTCGCCGCCACGTGCAGTTTGCAGACCATACTGGCCAACCTGCTGACAGTGCCTGCCCAACGCTCGGCAACTCAGCGCCCTCATACATGATCCCGGCGCTCCGAAGCTGTCTCGGGACTCTCCAGCCGTGCCCGCGCACATGACTGACGCACTCTTTTACCCCCCGATGTTGACATGTTGGCCATGCGCGTATCAACATCAATCTCGCACTGGCACTGTTGTGACGAAGTCAGGTTGTAGCTTTGCGTCACGCGAGAGGCTGCCACATTTCGTCTACTCCTGCGAGAACGAATATCTTCACGACGGAGACGGGTTACCATACTTGGGTCGATTTCTTTTCCATCATGTTCGCTACCATCAGGAAAGCAAGAAGTCGCACCTCATTTGTGGCCATGTCGACTGGCATGGACGGGCTATGAGGGGCCCGACAGTCAGAGAGGCGCTGCTCAGCCAGGCCGGGTCCGTGCCGCGGTGACGGTCACCCGCGGTCAGTTACCGTGTCAGGCAAACTCAGTTGAACTGACGCCGTCACCAACGTAGGAATTGGAGTCGCTCAACGCATGGCGCTGCTGTTGCAGTCTCGCACTCCGAGTGCCGGTGCGCAGGCGCGTAAGGCCTGTCCAGGAGCTTGAAGCCACCTCTCAGGCAGCCAAATCCACGGCTGCGCTCGTCAACCCGCCACGGCTTCGCTCTTGTCGTCGCGCGAGATGCGGCAAAGCATCTTTCAGAGCGATCACAATGTCGCAGGTGCGCACAAGAGGCACATTAAGCGTTGACAGCGCGGTGTCGTGTATTTCTGCCTGGCTGCTGCAGCCCCCCCTTCTTCTGTGCGGTCGCGACAGATCGAGCAACCCGTCGATGCCGACGATTTGACGCGATCTCTCACCAGCGCATGCGGGCCATGCTGACAGCCCTCGCTTGGCGGCATCTAGAAGCCCCACATCCTTTTCTTTCCCTGGTTCCGCTGCGCCACACGAGGGAAGGCGCTTCGCTCGCTCCCCTCGTCATCTCCACGAATGATACTCGTGATGCCGGTGCAGGCTTCAGCAGCGCTCGCGCTGGTGTGCGGCCGCGCGTCGCCCGCCCTCTGGCGCTCCGCCACAGCAAGGTGATGGCGGCAGGCGCCGAAGCTGGATTTCCTGCTGGATGCAAAAACGAGTCGACGGACCACATGTTGGAAAGTTCAAGCAAACGGCGGCTGCGATGGGACGGGTTGCCGGCGCCTGTGCACTTGGCCCTGTCCGTCGTCTTGCTCGCCAAGGCACAGATCATGCACTGCGCGAAGAGGACATTTTCCAGCTGGACGTTGTCGCGCGACCAGATCGATCAGATCAACAGCGGGATTCGGCTCTCTAGGAGGTGAGTCACACCGCCACCAGTTTTCGTGCCACAACTGCCACCATTTTTCCCAGCCCGCGTCCATGTCGCCGAGGCTTCTGCTCGATGACCGAGGTGATGTGCAATATAGGGCAGACCTTTCCCCGTGCGCGCGAGAAACGTCTGGGACTCCTCCAAGTGCGATGTGGCAGACAGCAACACGTCGCGTTCAATCCGCGTCGCGGCTGTGTTCCTCCATGTCAAGCTGCAGAAACCTCGCGGTGTACGCCAGCGTCTGTTCGCCGGCATTCGCGTCTGTCACGGGCGGCAGCAGCACCTCGATCTTCTTGCTGTTCACGCGCGCAATGGCATCGTTCCTCAAGCTGTACCTGCTGCTGCTGTTTGTTAGAGTCCTGCTGACGTGGTTCCCACAGGTCCGTCCGAGCCTGGCAGTCGCGTCACGCGCATCCGAAGCCCGGTGTCACGTGCCGCAGCCACATTCGAAATCAGATCCTGCACCTCTCAATGCTCGCAGTTCGATTGGGAGGCGCAACCGTGGCTGACTCTTCGAGAGATCACCGACCCTTACTTGAACCTCTTCCGGGGATTCATCCCGCCCCTGCTCGGCCAGATCGATCTCACGCCGTTGCTGGGCTTCTATGTCCTGCAGTTCCTCGCTGGTGCCCTCGAAGTCGGCGAGATGGACGACGACTGGTAGAAATTCAGTCATCCAAACATGGGCCCACGTGTTCCAGCGTGCTGCGATTGCCGGCGCATGCGAGGCTCCACACTGTCCGCCGTTGTCGCCGCAAGAGGATTGTGCCCTTGAAGGAGGAGCAATCTAAACGGTGTAAGCTGCGGTTCGTGCTTCACAGCTCGCGTAGGGCGTGTACGCCCATGGTGAAGGCGACGTTTGGCCACGCAGCGCGACGACGTCATCATAAGCTACTGTTCTGGCCCAAGGCTCTGGTCTTGTCCTGAGCACTGCTGGATAGTCTGCTGGATAGTCTGGAAGATTTGGAGCACCGCGCGTGGAATTCATCTCGTTGGCGCCCCCCGTGTCGTGTGCCTGCGAATCACGTCTTGCGCACTCTAGCGTTTATGTGGCAGTGTCACTGAGTCGACAACTTGCTCGTGCACTGTGTGCGCATGCCCGGAAGCTGCAGCATCCGCGCTTGCAGCGTGCGGGAATGCGCCTTGATCTTGCATACTCGTGAATGAGGCAAGTTGTTTCGTAGAGATGCCTGTTGTAGCTACGGCGTGTGGGGTTAGGACCCCCCCCGCGAGGGGGGTGGTGAAAACGCTTCCGAGATCGGACGGTCCCGGACGTGTGGGGGTGACCGTCTTGCGGTCTCTGACATCATGTCCGACCGTTCGGCCACTGTTTGACTGGCGCTGCCCTGGTCACCAGCTCCTGGTCGGACCAGGTCCTCGTCGCAGGCTGCGGCAGCGCCGCCGACCATCAGATGGCATCTCTCACGACAATGGCATGGCCATGATATGCGGTCACAGCTTGCGTCATGAGCGGCCACATGCCGCGCTTTGTTCTCACCCGCTTCACATCGTGCGTTCGGGCAACCTGGAGGCAGCGGAGCGCCACCATCTCCCCGGTCGTTCCATCGCTATGCGCCGTTCCGAACATCAGCAGAAGGTGAGGTTGTCCGCTCCGTTTTGTGCAGCGCGCGCAGCGTGTTGCGGATCGATGAGCACGAAGGTCGACTCTGCAGCTGTGTGGCGCGAACGGATGGGCGCGATGACAATTGTGCAGGAACGTAGCCGCAGCAAGCGCCGTGGATCGAGGTGAATACGGCGAGTCTCTGAAGGACGTAGAAGCAAGCTACGAGTTCGCCTCATTCAACGCCCTGCCAATGGTGCAGGTGTCTGCCCTCCTCCACCGTGCGCGGCCGCAATCCAAGCTGTTTCCCGAGTGCCCAGAGGACGCAAAACAGCTGTCTTTGTCACGCAGGAGCCGGAAGAAATCGTGAGCGGCGCCAAGAAGAGAGTCAGACGGGCGGTGAAGCACCGCAAGACATTGAAGAACGAAGCGAAGCGGGCGAGCAATCTTGCCGCTCGACAGGTGCGATGGCGCCGGTGCTGACGCAAGCAGCGGTCCCGCGACTGCACGAAGGATGCTCGCTGGGGGCAGGGGGACGCTCGGCGTGTATGCAGTTTGCAAACCTGAATCACGACCGCTCTCGACAAAAACTGCCTGCAGCTGGATGCTTTAGGCCTGGAACTCTCACGGCCGCTTCGTACTTACGTCGAGGGCTTCCCCAGAGTCGAAGCTCTTCACCCCTACGACAGGGACATGTTGCGCCTCACCGTCGGCGAAGACGAATATGAACGGGCAAGTATCCTGGCGTCTTCCTGGCATGCGAGATCTTCGCACCGCGCGACGATTGTAAAGGAAAAGGATGTTCGACGCGAAATTCGCCGCAGGTGCTGGGAAGCGTCGAAAGGGTTCGTCGAAGTTGTATCAACAAGGGGAAGAACTGGGCAGCACGAGCAGCCAAGGCGGCAAGTAAGAAGGAGGCGGGGGCGCTCCACGAGGAGGGGTTCGAGGACATTCCCGGGCAGCTGCTTTCGACGGGTGCACAGGCGAGATTGCTTTCGGTCGCCAGACCTTGATGGGTGAACAGCCTGTTTCACCCACGAGCCTCTGCATGCGAAATTTGAAACTGACCCTGGGGATGCAGGTGCTGAGCGATCTGAAAGGGATCGCAATACAGCTGCGAAGTCTTCCGAGCCTGCGGCTGGATTTACCCGTCGTTGCAATGGTGGGAGCTCCAAATGTCGGGAAAAGCTCGCTGGTGCAGGCGCGTCCGCACGACTCTCTGGCGCGGGTGCAAGATCGCCATACTCGTCGGTTGAGGTTCACTGATGCACCGAGCGGCATGTTCTCGCCTGCGCAGGCAATATCGACGGGCAAGCCAGAAGTACAGAACTATCCGTTCACAACACGCTCCATCATAGCAGGACACTTCTACGTGGACGGCGTCAAGTACCAGGTGTGTTCTCAGAACGAAGATTTGGTCGGCGACCGTGGCTGAGCACGGCGACAATTTATGCACATCGATGCGCACGTTGCAGGTCACCGACACCCCAGGCTTGCTCGACAGAAACGACGATGAAAGGAACAACATCGAGCAGTGTACGATGGCTGTACTGAGACACCTCGATCCCACAGTCGTGTTTGTGATGGATCTGACGGAAGGATGCGGAACGACGATGACGGAACAATTGAGCATCAGGTGCAGTAGAAACAGAAACTGCATCGGCGTCGCGAATACCTTGCATCCTTCACGCGGATGAAGCCGCTTTCGCTGATCCGTCCACACGACGATGCCCGCAATACAGTGGACTCCGTTTTCGTGCAGGAAGGCTATCGTGGCAGAGGCCGATTTCAAACGATGGATTGACGTCTTTTCCAAATGTGATCTGCTTGGCCCCGAGCAGGTCGCACGAGGCGAGGAAATCTCACGAGGAGCAATCTTCGTCTCCACTGTGCTGCACCAACCTGACAGAGGGGTGCGCATGCTGACACAGGCCCTTGCAGGGCAACAACAGGATCGGGAATCATAACGCGAGAGAGTCACAGGCGACGAAGTGAGGTCGTCATGTTGCATGTAGTCGGCGACCGAACCTTGTGAGTTCGCCGAACTGCAGGCCTTCCGTTCGGACAGCAACTGCTTGGGGGAAATGGACAGAGCTTCTGCTTGCAGCACGCAAATCCATCCTGCGGCTTGGCGCGGACCGACGTTCAGCAGAGCTGCCGACAGGCCAGTGCGCAAGTGAGTCCTGCACACCCGCACCGCGTCGCAGCCTACCACTGCCGGCGCACATGTGGTGGGGGCATGGGCCAGGCCTGGCGGGCTTCATCCGGCCATACCGATCTCCTTGAACGACGCTCGACCGCAACGGCAGCCGCCTCATTGCCCTTCAGAGCACGCGCACCGATCTCAACGACCCTTTCGAACGCAACTGCTCGCGCTCTTCTGCTGCTTCGACGCTCCCACTGCTGTTTGCACGTCTGAAGGACCTGTTGGCGCGTTTTTGCGACCACCTCCTCGAGGTCCTGCTCAGTCTTGCAACCGTGAAGCGCCTCCCTGCGTGCACAAACAGCGCACTCGCGATCACTCCGTATCCTGCAAGGGCGTGACTCATCACCGCCGCGCGTCGACGGGCCCCCCTCTCGCACCTGACGTCAGCTTGAAGTTCACTCCAGCCGGAAGGCGACTCTTCAAGAAGAGCCAGACTAGCGTTGTCCTCGCCGCTCAGACGGGAGTCGTTGACCATGATGAAGCAGGCATTGGCTGAGGATAACGGGCGTTTCCGCGACTCCGGTAGCGCTTGTGACACGCGCAGTCGATGAAGCAGTTCGCAGTACAGCGAGGCCAGTTTGCGTTCTTCCCTGCTCGAGCACGCGACGTGAGTAGAGCGCAGGTCAAAGCAATACGAGTGTGCTCGGTGCATGGCACAGCTACTCTCGCACGTGCACGCGAGTACCTACCTGGACCAGCCCCGCATTGTTTCGGCGCTGTCGATAATCGTCGCACCCCCTTGCTCGTGAACTTGAGCACGGGCAGATTGTTGGAGCTGCTTGATGTGTGCAATCTTCCGCGCTGCGAGCAGTCGCCGCAGCCGAGCTTGTGAGTCCATCACTACGTGCTGGTGGCGAACAAGCATCCGAAACATCAAACAGCGAGCGTTCGGCGCTCACCTGGGGCACGCATGCCGTGCTTCCTGTGCAAGAGCCCCAACTTGTCAGCGCCCAGAGCGCTCTGGGCGTAACGAGTATCATACGCGTCTCCCACGAGTGTCAAGAGTTCGAGAACCGCGGGGGGTGGGTCAGATACGCTCGGAAGGGCACTTTCCCTGCAACCTCACACATGCAGATAAGCTCGTGTTCCATATCGCTCAGGCCGGCGGTGTCCGAGCCACCAACGGTCCGGATCTGCGCACCTTTCCGAGACGGACTCCATGGGCGTCGACGATTGCAGTGGAAATCGTCTCTGAGATGTGATCAACAACTTCTGCAGCTGCTTCGCAACGACGCACATGCTGGACTGTGTGCCAACATCGACACGCGACTGGAGCACGAACGAGCCTGTCTGGGCATCGTGACGCTCGCCAAGCTCGGCGGTGAAGTGCGCGACGCCCTCGTTCGACAGGAGCCCTTGCTGGACCAGATCTTGCACGTGTACGCGCGCGCGAGACACGTGCTGCTGGACAGCACCGGGCATGCCGCCGAGTGGGCCAGCGTGACGCATATCGCCGTATCGGTGCTGTTGCCTGCGCAAGCGACGGCGTGCACTTGCCCCTTCGCGCAAGAGTGCATGAAGCCGCATGCAGCGCTTCGCCTGCTCTGTGTGATCTGCGCTTCCTCACCTGCCGGAATGCAGCGACATCGACACCTCGAGATGTGCACAACTCGAGTCTGCCCGCACACGACGTGCTGGTGGGATGCGACACGAGTGCTCGACTCCCTGCGATGCCGCAGGTCCACTGATCGCATCGACGAACGAACAGAAGCCCGCCGGATCGTGATGCTTCAGAAGAGACAGGAACCTGCGTCCGCACAACAGCCAGCCTTGCGTGCGACCGTGCGCCGGGGAGCTAGCAGGTGCCACTCAGCAGCACAGTGGTTGCGCCCTTACCTCAGCCTTTCGTTTCCATTCGCCGCAAGATGGCCCTGATGCGCACAAAACATCCCCTTCAGGCGCCCGACGGGCTCCTTTACCAAGGGAGCGCGCGAGAACGTGTCCATTATGCCTGAGTGCTCGTAAGTCGATGAAAGGTGCTGCGAGCCAAAGCCCGGGCACCATATTCTGACTGAGTTGGCTGCCGTGGCTGCGATGCCGAGATGGCCCTGGTGCAGGGCAGCGGGATCAACACTGTTCGCGAAGTGTGTGCACAACGACGAAAGGGTATTGCGCAGCAGAGCGGCAGCAATCGATCGTTCCAGCATCGGCAGACGGAACCATGGCTGCAAGAACGTCACGCACCCTCGCGCTGGCGCTGCCCGACGCTCGCCGCGGTTGCGAACTCGTCGCAGCAGCTCTGGTAGAGCGCAGCAAACGGCTTGCATGACTCGCTCTCGTCATCACGAACCTGTTTCCGACTGCAGCAGACGAGCAGGAATATGCAACAACACGACGGTGCGGAGCGGACGCCCCCTTCTATCCCACGCCGGGGCCTGCAACCGGGTTGAACCCGCAGAGCAATCGTCAGCTTTGCCGCCGAAAGAGGACCCGGGGTCTGACGGTCAGACCCGCCTTCAGGTGCTTCTGTGGATCCGCACGTTACCGGGGGTGTACACGGCCCAGCTGAGCACACATGCGAACTTCACTCGCACGTCGCGGAGACGAAGGAACACTGGGCGCGAGAGAGTGCATGTCGCTGTCCGGCAGCAAAGGGCTCGCGCGGAACACCCGCCCGCATGTGAGTGCGAGCAACGCGACGCTCGGCATCGACTTCTGCACCAGTCGCAGGGTCGCTGGGCGAGACAAACTCCGCGATGCCTCCTGCGAGGAGAGGAGAGTCGCGCAACGGGGCTGGCGGCGCACACGGTTCTATCGGACCTACAGGCGCGGAGAGCGACGCGCAACGAGGTCAGCTGCGGGAATCTAACGTCTTCACTTATGAGTGTTGTCGCCCAGCTCACGCAACAGTGACTGTGTGTGTGGCGCGCTGTCGGCCATTCCTGTGCTTGAATGAATGTTGCCGCAGAACAGATGCAGACGCCTATTCCTCGCAGCAGGCCTTGGATCGCAAAGATGGCACTCGAAACGTGGCATGCACTCGGGAGAAGCACCAAAGCGTTCGATGGCGATCAGATACAAGACGAACATGCGAGCAACAGGTTGACCACTGGAGATCGATGGTCCGCCTTGCACGGCGGGATCGCTGGCATTTCCCTGGTCATCGTCGCCTCTCCAGCTCTTGCTGCGCCGCAGTGGTTCCGGGCGTCCTGCAGAGACGTGCGGGGTGGGTGGAGGTGACGGGTCCTACCGGTGAGCAAGAGAGGTTCGACTGGGACCTCTTCTGGGGCGACATCAACACGTTTATCAAGGAGACTGGGTTCCTGCACGCCAAGATGTCCGCTCACCAGCGAATCAATCACTTTCCGCGTAATTACGAGTTGTGCCGCAAGGACCTCATGGCAACCAACCTGAAGAAAGCAAAGCGCAAGCTTGAGAGGGAGGGTCGCGGCGGCGAGCTCGATTTCTTCCCTCCGACCTTCTCGCTGCCGTCGGGTACGTATCTGCGCTCTCGAGACCCGCGCGGAGGGACGCTCAATGACGAACGTGGCGATCCTGGTTGTCCATGCCATCAGTCAGTCCATCGAGGCCGCGACGTGCAGACTGGGGAATATTCATGGAAAAATTCAGGGCGGAAGATGCGGTCTGGATCGCCAAGCCGGTCGGTCGAGCACAGGGGCGGGGCATTTTCCTCGTGAGTAAGATTTCTCAGCTGAAGGACTTCAAGAAGAAACAGCCAGGCGGTGGCAAAGAAAATGAGAACGTCGAGTCGTACGTCGTTCAAAAGTGAGACGCCAGCGCGACATTGCTTGCCGTCGCACGAAACGTGGTGATGCTGTTGCGAAAGGTTCCAGATGAGGCCTCCTATGATGATCGGCAAATGAAACATGGGGGCTCGCACGGTCGCCACAGGTACATCGAGAGACCGCTTCTGATTGGATCGCGCAAATTTGACATCAGATTGTACGTTCTCGTACTGTCTTTCCGCCCCCTTCTCGCCTACACTCATCGCGGTGGATTCTGCAGATTCACTTCATGTGCGTACAACGCACCTCAGAAGGAGAACATCAGGTGAGTAGCGTTTCCTCTGCAGTTTTTGCTTCAACGACAATGCTGCGTTGTACCTGGCCAACCGCGCGCGTTGACGGCACCTGCAGCAACCTCGGAGCACACCTGACAAATCACGCGATTCAACGGAAGACGGAAGACTTCCACTGCGAGACTGGCAACAAGTGGCCTATCAGAGCCCTGAAGCTCTTCATGATTTCCAAGTACGGGAAAGGCGCGGTTTCCCCATACCTCGACGTGATTAGCCTCACTTTCCTCAGAACATGATTGGCCTGAGCGTCTGCGACCCCGATCACTGCAGACAGGACAGAGAACCTCTTCATGGAGATGGAGCGCGTCATACTGCGTAGCCTCCAGGCTGTCCAGGACGCGGTAGTTCAGGACTGGCACTGCTTCGAGCTGTATGGATACGACGTCATGGTCGACAGCGATCTCCGGCCGCAGCTCATCGAAGTGAACGCACAACCGTCACTGTCGGCATCGGACCCTGAGGATCGTAGACTGAAGGTGCGTCATCGCATCCTATGCACGTGCGCCAGCGAGACCTCTTTCTCGCGTCGCTCCCTGTCTGTGTGAACTTTCTGCGTATTTCTTTTTTGCGCTGCAGGCCGCAGTTGTGCGCGACGCCCTGGATCTCGTGGACATGGAGGGCCACTTTCGCGGCCAATTGCCCGATCGAGCAGGAGGATTCGACATCCTCGTTCGGGATGATTTGCCCCCTCAGAGGGTCGCTGCGAACATCGGAACCGCTTGTCCGTTCGAATGAATATACCAATGCCGACGATAGAGGAAGAGAATGCGCTGCACGGTATATGTCGTGGTTCTCGCACGACGACGATGCACGATCCATCTCTAGCTGTGAGAGATCCCATGACGGTCAGGACACCGAAGCATAGTGGTCGCTTCCCGATGTTTGCACGCCGTGACGCCGTCACTTACGTGGTAGTGAGCACAATATGAGGACTCGGGAATGATCAACGCGCGCTGACATCGTGGTGGGTGAAACAACATTTCGTGCCCTCCGAATCAACCACCTCTTTGCAGCAATGATTGACCAATGACGGGGAAATGTCGCCCACTCGCCCGTCATTGCGCGGCGTTGCTCCCACTTAGACCCGAATGCACACAGGTTTCGAATGGTCATGCTACGTCGCGCACGCCCCCGCGATGCAAGACCGCGGAGCGGGTCAGCGGGAACTCCGCAGTGAATGGCTCGTTTCACGCGCAACCTGAGTCCACGTCGGGCTGATGGGCGTGGCTGAGCCAGCCTGAGGGCGCCGTTAGAGACGAGTTCTGAGCACTTCCGTCGTCTCACAGGCAGCAGTTGTCGCATCTTGGACGGGACATTCCGCCAGATGGACAAGGGCTAGTCTGACTCAGAGATGCCCCAGCTCTGCGCGCGGCCATCTGGCGCAGACTGCCAGTTAGTGAGACGACTCTGCAGATGGTCTGACCGGACCGCCGGACCGCCCGGGGCGGCGGCCAACGAACGTTCGTCATTGCCATTAAATGGCGGCCGGCACTTCCATTGATACAAAGTGCTCGGCACGATCCATGCCGCACGCGCGTGCACATTTTCGGTTCCATGTCATATCGCAACAACTGCCTCTGCCGTGTTCCTCAACGGCGATGGTGTGCGTTTGACGAGTGATGTCTCCGAGTAAAGACGGAAAGACGGCTCGTCACCATGAAGTTCCGGACATTTCGTCCACCACCGCGACGTTTGCAGATGCATCGAGTCGGCCAAAGCATCGTCGTGGACCAGGCCCTCGGAAGCCCACGAATGAAGCCCTACGCCTGCATCCCGACGACCGTACAGATACAGTTCCGTATACGTTATCGGAATGCAGCGAAATCGATAGCGGCGATGGCACAGCGGCGTCAACGGGCGAAGTTCTTGGATGGCGTGCAGTGAAGCGACTCGCGGATGCCAGCCTACGAGGCGGCATCGCGGGGTTCGCCATCAAGTCCGGGGCGACACTCGCGACATTCGTGATGCGGGCAGCCAAGAGGAGGACGCTTGGGCGCATGAGCATCGCGCACGCACTGTTCGTTCGACCCCTCAGGTACGTGCATGCCCTCCAAACCCGCTGTCGCGGCCCCCAGGCGCCGGATTCGTGACTTCGGGTCGCCTGTTGTCGCCCGGAAGTGGGCCGCGGTTGGCTTGGCCATCTCGCTGAGGGGAGCAGGGGAGGCCTCCGTGCCGTTGTCAATGTGTGCTCTTGTTCGTGATGGCACATCGCCTGTCTCGAACGTAAGTGCCGAATGCGTGCGGGAGCTGACCAAGGCGAATCTTTCATGTCGCCATCCGATGCTTCGTCGCTCCAGGATTTTTCCGTCGCAGTTTTCGTTTCAGGGGGTGCCTCGAGCGGCCAGCATGCGCATCTTTCAAGACCTTAGGTCAAAAGCTCCTTGCATAGGTGTACACAGGCTGTCACCTGCCGGTCGCCCCCGTCGTTCCAAGTGGCTGTGCCGTGTGTGACGATGCGCACGTGTGGGTGCGCTCTGCGCAGGTATGGGATGTTTCTTGCGGCGTTTGGGGCTGCGGGAGTCGCGACGGACGAGGTCGTCGCGTCGCTGTTCGGGAGGAGTGATACAAAGCGATTTCGGGCGCTGTTGGCGGGTACTGTTGCTGGTCAAGCCCTTCTGCTGCTCGGGCGCGAGAGACTGGGGGCCGTCACGACGTTCCTTTGGATCAGGTGGGCGGCGGCAGCACGCATTATGTCAGTTTCAATCAACGTGCGCGCTTTTCGCGGACTGAACCGGCGGTCGCTGGAAGAGATCTGCAGGAGCGTTGTCATGTGGATTCGCGGGGTGAACCATGGAGTTTTTGGGCCTGCATGGCTTCGCAACGTCCTCGTTCCGACGCGATGGAGGTATGGCGACGTCGCGCTGCTGTGCGTGGCTGCGTGGGAGATCATCTTCGCATTCTTCGAGTACCCAAACACACTGCCAAGGCAAGTCCGTGGACATCGTCACGCGCCACCTGTACTAGTGCTGCAGAATAAGTTCGCAGAAAGCTGCAGTGATGCACGTGCCTGCAGATCGTACGTGAGGTTCCTCGCGCGGCAGGCGTGCAAGCCTCAGTGGCTGCTCCAAGGCATGCGAGAGATGTGTGCGCGAAATCGCGGTCGCTCTGCTGCACATCCGTTTTGCGGGCCATTGGACGCTTTGCGCGGCAGTCCGGCCGCTCACGTACATGCGCGCCACGCGTGCGACGTGCTCGGCCACCGCTCCCTGAGAGACTGTGTTGTCCACGCACTGCTGCAAATTCCCATCACGTTCACGCGGGCTTTGCCGCTGTACCTGCCGGTATATGCACTGCCCGCAATATTGAAGCACGGCGGAACGCTCGCGACGCCCAAGGGTCTCCCTGCCCTGTCCAAGGTCGGGCGCGGGGTTGCGAGGTCGTCCCTCTTCTTGTCGGTTTTGTTTGCCCTGGCCTGGCAGGGCGCGTGCGCGGGGCAGCGCGCGGTCGGTACGACGTCAGCGGGCATACTGGCGAGCAGCGCGTGGATTGCGGGGCTATCCAATCTGGTCGAAAAGAAGAGCCGGAGGATGGAGTTGTCGCTATACGCAGCGCAGAAAGCCCTTGAATCAGCGGTCCTGGTCGTCAGGGATGCCGAATTCGTCCCGCCAAGCGTGCTGGCCATGTTGAAGGAGATTCGGGTCGACATCGTGGGGTTCACTATAGCCTCAGCAAGCCTGATGCACTTCTATGCCGGGAACGACGGTCAATACCGCAAAGTATTCCAGGGCAAATACGTCGGAGTGATCGACTGGATGATGGGAAACTCAGGCATCCGCGAGGGCAGGATTGCACATGAGCCGTCCACTCTTGATTGGCTTGCGGAGTATGCACTTCGGCAGGCACGCCGCGCCGCGAAAGTTGGCGGCAGGTGGATCGGAGATATTCCGGGATGCAGCGAGCTACTTGGCAGGCCAGTCGCGCTCGGAAAGCGGGTGGTTGGGATGGCACCTGTTGATGCAGTGCTTCACAAGGTCATGGGGCTGTTCGGAGCAGCTGCTGAACCCGGCGATAGTGGCCACGCAAAAGATCGCCCCCCTCGGGCGTGACGGCGTCGCGCCGAAGAACTGATGAAGCGCACACAAACCTGAGCGCACCTCGCAGACTCGATCGACGGGCGACTGAGTGTCGGGCATGTTCCCGACACAGTTTTTTTCATGCCGCCAGCCGCACGGGCGCGCATCTTGGCGACTGTGACGTGAAATTGTCTTCGAACTGCCCATGGCGTCAGGCAGCTAGACTCGAGCACCTCGCGGCGTAGCCTTGGTGACAAGATGGTTCCGTGTGCGGTTTCAGTTTGTATTGAACATGCAGTGTGACAACCGTGACCTCCGGTTTGACGCCTGAAAGTTCATTACAAACGTGAAACCGGAGGTCACATTGCCCTGTCCCGCCTGCGTGTGGGAGCCACGAGGCTGCGCACCTCCACGATGGCCATGGCGGACCAGGAACAGCAGTGGCAACACACACCGCTGTCGCACCCATCGAAAGTCTGCCGCTTCTGCGCGGACGTGGCGGCATCGCCCGCCCCGGAGGGCCTCCGCCACCTGCTGCTGGACTGCTGCGCCCCGGCGGTACGCTCTCTCCGGGAACGAGCGGGCCTGGCCGTGCACTCGTCTGGGCAGCTCGCGCTACCACCTCCGCCCGCTGCTGATGCGCCCCTGTCGTCCACGGCAACTGTTGGACAGCGCCGCCGATTCGCTCTCAACCGCCGGCTACGCCAGCACCTCGAGGACCTGCACCGTGCTGCAACACTCGGAAGCCGCTGCCATAGCTGCTGTGCGATATCTTCTGAACCTGCCGAATCAGCAAGGCATGGCGATCTTCGCTCGTGGCATCGAGGATCTGCCCCAGGCTTACTCTGTCACAGCTGCCGAACCTGTTGCTACCATAACGGTGGGGGACTGCATGACTCGCCACCTAGTCGAATGATCTTTTCAGGTCCCAAAGCCTTATGGCTGACCACGCGAAGAATGTGACACCTCACCTCATTGACCAAGGAAAGGGACGGCCGAGAGCAACGACGCGGTGGAGTACCCGCACGCAGGATGAGCAAGCAGCGGCAACAGATGTCAGGGTCTCAGCACCTGCGCAAGCAGCTTGAGTCAAGTCTTGGATGAGTGACGAGCCCCGCGGGCGTGCGGGTACTCGTCTCCAAGCCCCACCACGCGTCCCGATGCCGTCGGCCGGCGACCCTGCCCGGCGAGACACACGCAAGACATCACGCATGTCAGGTGAGGCGGTGACAGCCCCCTCACGTCACCCGCTACTCGGGCCGCTCCTGGAAGCACACGTTCAGCAGCGGGTCCGCGTGATGGTTGGCAGGGGGTGGGGGTGCATCGTCCAGGAAGCTCGTGCGTCGACCTTGAACATACCATTCATGTCAAGGTGGTGGCCCGGATCTCGGCCCAGGCAATGGGCTGCCGTTGGAGGCCGCAATCGTCGCCTGACTGCCATAACACACGTCGCGTGCGAGCGGGTACTACACCACCGTCGTTGTTCTCGGCCGCCCGATTCGCCGATCGATGCGACCCCAGTAGTCGTCCTCGACCGCGGGCCCCCATGGCGCTGGAAACCATTACCCCCACCTGGGGCCCAGGGCTGTCCCTTGTTGCCCTAGAGCCGCCTCACACGGATTGCCTGGTGCTGCCGGGACCCTGAGAGGCCACGGGGATGAGCTTCGCGCGAGCGCAGATCGCACCGCCCCTGTCCGAGCTCGGTCTCACGGACCGCCGGCT